AAAGCAAAGCCAAATATATCTCTATACTATGTAGGTAACATAACCGACCAGAAAAAAAAATTGTGGGGAACCTTTTTGAGATATTTTCTCACTATGTAGTCCAGGTTGTCCTCAAATTCATATTCCTTCTGCCTCAAGCCTCCTGAGTACACAGAATATAGGCATGTGCCACCATTCCTGGTTCAGAAAAAAATTATTTTAGATGATTTAAGAGTACGTAATTTTGATATGATCTCTAGTGGTAAATACTTTAAAGACAAAAAACTTTTAAGGTTTTTTAAGGGTTTTTTTTCTGTTTCAGCAATATCATTGGGGGGTAGTCTTGGTGCTATTCTGAGGCTCTTGCAAATATCACATAGGACAAATCAAGGCATCATTATTTTGGTGCATCACAGACCTGTATTTATTTGGCTTTTGGTTTTTTGAGACAGTGTTTCACTTTGTAGTTCAGTCTGGTCTTGAACTCAGGCTGGCCTTGGACTCACAGTGATCCTCCTGCCTCGGCCTCCTAAGTGCTGGAATTATAGGTATATACCTAGTGAGACCCGTATTTTGAATGTGGAAGAAGGGTCATATAAATAAATGTTAAGATCAACATATTAAAACCGTAAAGTACTATATATGAATTGGATTGCCCATATAAGTTAAGGATATATGTAGTGTCTTAGCTACTTTTCTCATTTTGGAGGCATAAATACCTGACACCCAAAGTTAAAAGAGGAAAGATTTATTTCAGTTCACAGTTTATAGAGGTTTCAGTCCATAGTCAGCTGGCTCCAAGGCCGGGTGACATGACAGAGGGACATCACAGAGGAGAAACAGTTCATGTCATAGCAGGCAGAAAGCAGCAAGCAGCAGCAGCAGCAGTAGCTGCAGACCTGCCTTCCCTCTCTCCTTTTATATTCCATCCAGGCTGTAAGTCTGTTGATTGATGCAATATATGCCCAGGTAGAACTTCCATTATCCACCTCCTTAATCCCAGCATCACATCCTTAATCCCAGCATCACATCTTTAATCCACATTCACACACCCTAATTCACCTTCAAATCTCCCCACCTATGACCACATGAAGCTTTGGGAGGACATCTAAACACAAGCTGTAACAGTTAGCATACAGCTATATTTTTATTTATATTTATATTTACTTCCTAACTCTGTCTACTGAAATTCTTAGAAACAACGACCCATCTAGTAGGCAGGAGCCCAAATTGTGGACAACCTTCCCATTGAAATGAGCCAGGGCTCAGTACAGGTGTGGGGCTCCCCACCCCGCATAACAATATGCTACAGACATTCCTCACTTCTCTTTACAGACACAGATTATTCCATTTTGCAGCCATTCTTCCATGGCTTATTCAAGTCACCTTTTAACAGAAATTTGGTTCCTTCTAGATTTGGGCTATGATAAATCATGCCATAAAGGTAGATTCACTTTTTTATGGCTATGCGCCTTTGCATTGCTTATTATGCTAATGTATTTCTCCACCTTTTAAAAAATGTGAAGAAAAAGATAACGTTAGCAACAAACTGAGTAAGACAGAGTAGGGGACACTGAGGCAGGAAGTGCTGGTTGGAGGGAACTACAATCATCCCTGTACAACCATATCTTACAGAAACCAGAATGAGAGCTGTAGAAATGACACTGAGAAGACAAGAGGCCAGACCTGAGAGATAATTAGAAATAGAACTTCAGGAGTTTGATGACTGGTTGGATGTGAGACTGAGAAAGGAGACTTCTAAATCAGATTCTTATCTATGGAAAGTTAATAATCACTGGTAGGGAGAACATAGAAAATCTGAGCAAAAAGATGATAAATTCACTTGAACATTGCATTTAGAAGGCCTTTGAGACATCAAATGGAAAAGTCAAGTTACAGAAATGGCTAGAACTACAGACCTGAGAGTCTTCAGCACATAGACAATACCCAAATCTGTAACAGTGGGAGAGTCTGAGCCGGAATCCTGAGGGAAACCATCTGGATGTGGCACTTGTTGGCATACTGCGCATGTCTGAATGTGTTTAACTGAATACAGTATTATAAACATTTTAAACATATGCAAAAAAGAGACATAATAAAGCTTAATTACAAATAATTTACTATTCTTCATCTACCATCTTCCAACTTTTTAAGTATGTTAAGCCAGATTCCTACAGTGATAGGATTTCACCCACAAATGCTAACTTTTGTATCTCTAAGAGATAAGGTCCATTATTCTTATTATTACAACTACAAAACCACAATTCCACCTAACATTATTTAGTATTCTGCTTGGGCTGCCATAATAAAATGTCACCTAGTGGGTACAAAAACACAGCAGAAACTAATTTTTTCCCAAGTCTGGAGGCTGGACATTCAAGGTCAAGGAACCCATAGGCTGGTTTCTCCTGAGGCCACTCTCATTAGTTTACTTCTTCCTGTGTGCTCACAGGGTCATTCTCGGCTACTTGGGAGCCTGAGGCAGGAGGATTTGAAGTTCAAGCCCAGCCTGGATAACTTAGCAATTTACGAAGACCCTACCTCAAAATCAAAAAATTTAAAAGGGAATGAAGATGAACCACAGTGCAAAGGCCCTGCATTCAATCCCCAGTACAGAAAAAAAAAAAAAGAGGATAAAGTATCTATAAATAATACACCTGAGAAAGAAGGGCTTAATATCCAGAATTATAGCTGAGGGTTTAGCTCAGTGGCACCGCACCTGCCTTGCAAGCGCAAGGTCCTGAGTATGATCCCCGGTACCAAAAAACAAAAAAGAAAAATCCAGAATTGTAACCATTCATAATGACAAAGAGCTCAATTTCAGAACAAAGGACTGGAACAGAGAGTTCTAAGTCATTGAACACAAGAAAACATTCCCCTTGCCATTAGGGAATACAATTCAAAACCACACTGAAATACCACTTCGCATCCTTTGGTCTGTTACTAACAAAGTAATAGAAAATAAAAACCTTAAGGAGGTCAGGTCTAGTGGCACAGGCGTGAAATCACAGCATTTGGGGAGGCTGGGGCAGGAGGATCAGAAGTTCGAGCCCATCCTGGGCAGTAAAAGGGGAGGGGCTGAGAATACAGCTTAGTACAAAGGCCCTACAAATTCTACCCTACAAACCAGTACTACATTCTTCCGCCTCTTTTCCAACCAGTTGCCAGGACTGAAAAAACACTGCAGTCTAGCCCCACTCAGGAACTGACAATCCGCGACTTTGCAGGGAATCTTTCCACCGTTGCACACACACACTCAAACCCACCCCATCCCCCAGCGCCCATGCCTTCCGGCCCCGCCTCGCCGTCCAAGCTCCACCCCTTCCGTCCGCCGTCTCCGACTCCGCCCACCCCGTCAGGCCCAATTGTGGCCGAGGGAAACAGCGGATGGCCCAGAGGAGACTTCACGCAGCTGAGGGGCTGGGTGGGCCCTGCGGCCTAGTCTGTATCACACTCTAGGCGGGCGAAGCGGCGGCCCACCGTGGGGCGGGCCTGCGGCGGACTGGCTGGTGCACTAGGCTCGCGAGATCCAGCACAGGTCAGACGTGAAGGAGCCGCTTTCAGAGCGCCTTTCTGGTTCTCGCGAGAGGACGGCGTCCCCAGAGACCCGGCGCTCTGGGCGGGGGCCGACCGGCCACCCTCAGGCGGACCCCTGTGTTTTGCAAGGTGCTGCTAAGCTACGCTTTTAATTCTAGTGGACTTTAGAGTTCCAATTGTAGGTATTACCAGAAACTCGCAACATTTTTGCGTGAAAATTCTCCGGGGGCGTGTTTCTAAGTGTCAGTGTATCCCCTATGGAGTTTGGCGGCGTTCTGCGGGTAGAACCTAAGTTTTTAGAAGAGCTCTGTAGATGGAAGAGATCAGCTTGATCAGGGACATTGATGGCGTCAATTTAGATTCGGGCGTCCAGAAGTGAACTTGGACAATAGCTTCCCCTGGGAGCCATCTCCTGTCGTCACCGGCAAGTGGGGGACTGCGTCTTCCTCCGTGGGATTCATCCAAGTCCCTAGTAGAACTCGAAATTTAAAGCGATGAGCAAAGATTTTCCAGAGTTAGGTTGCATACAGATTGCTGTGGTTGATAGAAAATTAGTTTCTGAGTAAAATCAGGTTTTTATTTTAAATTAGGTTTTATTTTAAAGGCTTTGTTTTTAAAAAATATAATGGGTGCAGGCTTGAAGGTTGTAATATGTGAAAGAACCTAATATAAAATTTGAGAGTAGAATAAATTCTGGTCTAGGTGTTCGATCTTGGGAAAGTCACTGGTTTTGAGTGCCAGGAGAGACAAGGATAATAATTGCGGTGATTTTTCTCACGGGTTCTGGTAAATTCTGTATACAGTTAGAGTGTTACTTTGAAAGAGATAAACACAAAATGGGTTTTTTTCTGCAGTACAGTACTTAAATAATTTTAAAGTTAAAACCTCCCTTCCCAATATTCTAACAAATTTTAATTTTAAAGTCATCCCATTTTGCTTGTAGTGTAAGTATGTAGTGGTCAGAAAATTTTCAACTTAAACCAATAAGCAATTAGAAGGTAGGATTAATGCCTTTCGTTTTAAAAATGATTATTCCTGGGAACCATACGGTGCCTGTGTTGTATTAGCCCAAGTTGTTACTGAAATTTCTTTCAGTCTTTCTTTAACCTTAACTGGCAAAAATCTAAACTTTGGGGTTCAAAAAAAAAAAACAAAACCTTTTTACATGGGAAATCTTGTTTTCTGTCGCCAGAAGTTGTGATTTAGCTCAGTTACGAAGACATGCACTTGTGATTACAAGGATTTCAATGAAGAATTAGATGAAAACTGAGCTTCGTTTGTCCTCACCCTCAGACCAAACATTATGTACCATCTCTGTGGTATGCAGACAGGTTACAGCAGTGGGCTTCAACACTGGCATTACCTTTGACCCACCTGGACTGCTCCAAAAAGGCTGATCCCTGGACCCCATCCAGACCAGCCATTCAGAATCCTTGAGGGGTCGGGCTTGGGCATCCCATTGTTTAAAGTCTCCAGAGTTAATTGGTTTTGCAGCTAAAATGGGAACCCTTGTCTTAGAGTAAGGAGGTCTTCAGAAATGTGTCCAGTTTTCTTAAGAAAGGCTGGCAGGATTGAAGCTGTATCTAAAAAATGTGGCTTAGGGCATTTGGGAGAATATCTTTACAGAATTTTTCATCAGGAGGCCTGATGAAGTCTATGATTTGTAGAGTAAACTGGATAGTGATTGAGGCCAGTGGGCAGGCTATTACAATAATCCACAGGAAAAGTGACAGTGCAAGTGATGACAGAGATTCAAAAAACACTTATTTTCTCTCCTGGGGTGTTAAAATAGTTGTGAAAAAAGTGAGAAACCCTTTTGCCTTAGTTAAAACTACTTTTCAGTAATGAGTAGATAGGTTGTAGAATTTTATTGTTACATGAATTTTATTGTTGCTGATTATTCTTTTAATGTTAGAAATATATGTGCCTCAGGTAATTTTTCCAGTTAATTACTAATTCATTTTTCTCTTTATAGCCTTATATTAATGTGGTGATTTTGTTGTTTTTATTTTTACAGTATATAAGCTTGATAGTAAAGACTCGGTTTTCATCCCAATTGATCCGCCCACATAAATTTTCTTTTGGCTCCCAATTTTATGTTACAATGGTAAGCTACTGTTCAATATGTTCACATTTATATTTTAGAATGTTCTTTTATCTCCTTAAATTATAGATATAGATACAAAATACTGTTGTAAGCTGCACAAGTTATCCTTAGGACTTAGTAGTCATGTGCAAAGTCTTGTCTATAAAATACATAGCTCATCTCTCAGTTCAATGCTGTGATTACCACATGCAAGTTATGAGAATACTCCATATATTAAAATTTTACTTCTAACTACTTTGTCATATTCCATATTGGCAAGGATGACAGGTATAAATACAAATAATTTTGGAGGTTGAAGGTTATAAGTTCTTTTAAACTTTTTTAAAATTTAAGAATAAATGTAACTTGCTCTCTGCACCTAACCTTTTTTTGTTTTGTTTTGTTTTCTTTCTTTTTTTGGTTGGGCCAGGGTCTCTCACCATGTAGTCCAGGCTGACCTTGAACTCACTCTAAGGGCCAGGCTAGCCTCAAACTCACAGCAATCCTCTTGCCTCAGCCTCCCAAGGGCTAGGGTTGCAGGCATTTGCCACCACTCTCAGCTGCACCTAACATTTTAAGCAGTGTTAATGCTAGCCTTCTGATGACATGTTTCTGTTCACTGACCTAATAGACACTTAACTTTCGCCCTTAAAACATTTAAAGTGAGAAAAGCTTTCTAATGTTTTAAAAAGAAGTTATCGACAGTAAGAAAATAAATGAAAACTATCATGTAAAATTATTTATAAACCCTTGTTCTGCAGCATAAACCTCAGCAAATTATCTTCCTTGTCCTCCTCTTGTGATCTTGCCTATCTACCCTTGCCCCTATTAAAGTGAAATTCACAGTAGGATTCTGATTTCACGTTATTTTTGCATCTGTTTTACTTAATGGTATCCCTTTTAAGATTTTGAAGGCAGTAATAGATGAAGGATGCAAGTGTCTCTCACTAGACCTATTGAAGATTAGATTTCAGAAGAGGAAATATTTGAGTTGACTGGCTATTTAAAATGGTCTTAGAGTGTATATGATTATGTTTATTACAATTTTTGATATAAGCTTTGTTTCATGAGCAAAATTTAAAAGAACCTTATGTATTTTTAAAGAGTATGTATCCAGAGTTATATTTTCATGCTGGAAAATGGATTAAATTCCAGAATTTTGTCTTGAATCCTGGGAAACAGTTTCATTGTTTTTTATAAGGTTTTTCAATAAAATAAATTGATATGTTTATTTTAACTGGATCTTCTGAGATATTGGTAGATTTCAGACTTTCATCCCTTATTACATTTAGATATTTGATAATATGGTTTGGTTTTGATTGCAGTCTTTTAAAAGGCCAGTTATTTTTATAAACGTAGGAGTTTTCCATCCTTAGGATTAGTGTACAAGGTTCCTTGAAACTTCTCATGAGTTCCAAAAGGTGGCAGAGTTTGTTCTTCCCCCATCCTCCTGGAGTGTTGATAGGTGCTGGGAGTTTTTATCATGTACACACATGGTAGCTTATTATTGGAATCTAGAAAATAACAAATGAAAATTGAAGTTCTGTGCCTTTGAAGGAAATTTGAAACAGCTGTCATTGTGAATGAAAAATACTATTTTAACTCTGCCTGGCATCCAAAACAAAAAACTGGAAAGAGAAATCACTAGTGGTAATATTTGTTTAACTTTAGAACATAGTGGTTTTTATCTGTGTCTTCAGAAACGAAAGCGTCGTAGATAAGGAAGACACAACTTACCTCTTACCTGAAAATGACATCTTCCAAGAAATGTATGAAAGGTGGGGATCTACCAGTAGATTCCATACCTTGCATGTTGTAATTATACTTCATTTTATCAATTCTAAGTTGTATTTTCTTTTATATTTTAATATTAATGAATTGGTGATGAGTCTATAATCAGTGACTTCTTTGAACTATAATCGGCAGCTTCTTTTCCTTAATGTTACCTAAAATAATGATGTATACTTATAATTGATGACATCTTAATTCATTGAAATGTGGCAATGATAGCTATCATTTACTGCATTCTTTTTTTTTTTGGTACCCGGTATCAAACTCGGGACCTTACACTTGCGAGGCAGGCAGCGGAACCACTGAGCTAAATCCCCAGCCCATTTACTGCATTTCTATTAGGCACTGAGCTAGAGATGTTATGTCATGGGTTTTTGCATTAATTTATTAGGAATTTGTAAGTGATGTTAGATTCGAACACGACCCTACTCTCAGTTTTCAGGATTCTTTGCAGATTAGGAGGACAATTAAGTCTTTGCTTCACTTTGATAACATGAGTTATGGCCAGTGTCTTTTCTTAAATGATAGTTTTAGAATGTTGAAAACATTAAAATTGGTGAAGTAATGGTAACCACTATATCTACTGCTCCTTGTATCAGCCTCACAAATGCTGACCAGACACCTTTTAGCATTTCTTATCTGCTTGTTGTCATAATAAAGTTCCCAACACTACCATGTTTTTTCTTTATTATATACTTTGATCTTACAGTGGGTTAAAGAGAGAAATAAAGGCAAATACATTGGACTTTTTCTAGGAAATGAAATGTTGAAGCACTTAATTAGGAATGTTAAATGTTTAAATTTTTTCTGTGAGAATAACTAATATTGCCAAATACACTATTTACTTTTTACAGCAACAAGCTTTAGAACTAGCTTTGGACCGAGCAGAGGTGAGGCCTGACTAAATTACATATTGAAATTAGTGTCATCTATAAGTGACAAAAGCTTGATTTTAAGAGATATTTGTATTTCCAAATGAGTGCATTAATATTTTAGGACAAGATTGGAAATAATTTTTCTATAAATATATAGAAATACCGGGTGATGGTTCATTGTTATTTGGAATAAAAAATTATTTTTATTATGCTTTGAAATAAAAAATATTTGAACAAGGACATAGAATTTTTTAAATTATGTTTTTCTATTTTGGCAAGTTTTTTAAATAGCTAAAAAAAAAAAACCCTTGCAATTAGGTAGGTAATTTTTAACACATCAAGCATATTCTGAACAGCCATAAAACATTAATAATGTTTCTGCCCTGTGAAATTATAGTTCATAGCAATGAAATAATCAGCTAAAAAGTGCAGTTTAAATTTCACTCATTTATAACGTGCTTAGAATTTTTTTCTTGTGGAGTATAAATTAACATGAGTAAAGGACTTTAGTGACTAAATAGCTTTTTTTTAGCCTCACATGTTTTAGATATATAGTATTTAATTTAGTTGTTTATGTACAAAGCAAAATGCAAGCTGTTTTCATAAAATTTCTTGTTTTAGTATGTCATTGAAAGTGCTCGACAGAGACCTCCTAAAAGGAAATACCTGTCAAGTGGAAGGTATGAGTACTTAATTGATAATATCTTAGATTTATTGAAATGTAACAGTTAACAAATATTAACTGATCAATAGATACTGTTGTACTAGCCACTGAGCCAGAAATGTTTGCATATATAGGTTAAGCATCCCTAATCTGGAAATCCAGAATACTCAAAAAATCTGAAACTTTTTAAGCTGTGACATGGTGTCAGTGGAAAGTTTTACATCCAGCTTCATGTGACATAGTGAAAGTACAGGCACACTAAAAATATTGTATAAATTATTTTCAGCCTATTTGTATAAGTGTATATGAAACAAGTAATTTTCATGTCTCAGAGTCTTATCCTCAAGATGTCTGTTAGGTATATGTATATATTCCAAAATCTGAAGAAATCTAAACTACTTCTGGTCCCAAGCATTTTAAATAGGGATACTCAATGTATATTAGGAATTTCTGAGTTGATTTTATTTATTTATTTTGGCTTTTTGCTATTTAAAGGAGTATTTTCTTTTTTCTTCTCCTTAAATTCTTTTACTGGTACATTTTAGGTATACAATACATTTACATTTATCATTGGGTACTTGTACCTGTACATGATGCATCTTGGTTCTTATTTTTTCCCCATTCCCTGTTCTCCCTTCACCCTCTCCACCCTTCTCTATTTACAAAGACTTTGTTTCCATTTTTTCCTTTTCTCATAATTTTTCTTTCCCTCCTTTCCTTTCCCCTTCCCCTCCCCCTTTGAACCTTTTCTCCCTATTTCAAATTATCAGTTATTCATTTTAATCATTTTAATCCTTATTTATACTTGCAGTTTCTCACACCAGAGAAACTTCGGTTTTTACACATGTGGGTCCTATTTCATTTAAGAGTATGGCTTCTGGGCCGGGGATTTAGCTCAGTGGTTCGGCCGCCTGCCTTGCAAGCGCAAGGACCGGAGTTTGATCCCTGGTACCCAAAAAAAAAAAAAAGAGTATGGTCTCAGTATGCATCCATTTAGCTATAAATGTTTGTATGGCTGAGTAGAGACATTCTTTATGACTCATTCTTTATGGCTGAGTAGTACTCCATTTTTTTAAAAAAACACATCTTCTTTATCCAGTTTCCAGTTTCTGAGTTGATTTTAAATACCATATCCATTCCCACCCCATCCCCAATTTTTAGAAAAGTGGGGAAATCATTAAACAGCTATTTCATTGTGATTATTGTATTACAATTTCGTACATTGTCTTTATTCATTTTCTTCTAGAAAATCTGTATTTCAAAAACTTTATGACTTATATATTGAGGAATGTGAAAAGGAACCTGAGGTTAAGGTAAGTGTAAATTTTTTATGATATTGTGGCTTTTGAAATGTAGTGGAAAGGGGAAATTGGAGGAGTTAAATTTGAAGCAGTTCATTTGTAGGTAAACAAACATCTTTTCCAGACAGACACTGGTCAGTTAAGCTGTCCCAGAGTCCTGGTTAATCAGGCACCAGGCAGAGGTCACTGGAATGGGTTACTGCCCTAGGAATGGGGAGCAGTATATACTAAGTAACAGTGTTGCCTGGGCATGGTGGCACACACCTGTAATCCTAGTGCCTAAGGAGGCTGAGGCAGAAGGATCACCATAAGTTCAAGGCCTGCCTGGGCCAGCGTGAACTACATATTGAGATCCTGTCTCAAAAAAAAAAAAAATCAAAAGTAACAATATCTCACTGGATCCAAAGCCATGTCATGTATCTTTGGCTGTTGCTTCCCCCTGAGAAGCGATATGTAAACGGAGGATAAATGTAACCTATTTCCTTATGATGATGTGCACTGGAAAGTCAAAGCTGTTACAGGATATAGGAAATTCAAGTGTGGTAATTTAAGGTGAATTTGGTCATAAACCCATAGCCAACCTAACTTAATTAATTTTATTTGGCACAAAGGTGTCTGGAGTAGGAATGTAATGGAAACTGACTTATTGTATGTTTCAAACTAGGTTGAAAGAGCCTTAAAGGGTTTTGTGAGCTGCTTTCAATCTGTCATTTCGGCAAAAACAGCAGAATTCCAGTAGTGTATAACCTTTAAAATCTTTTAAGAAAAATACGAAATAAGGCACTCTTATAATCCCAGAATGCTGGTAGACTGTAGCAGTATGATCGAAAGTTTGAGCCCTGCCTGGGCAACTTATCAAGACTTGTCTCAAAAAAAAAAAGAGAAATCATAAATAGCTTGCTTCCTACCAGTTAGATACTTTTGGGTTCAACATAATCAGCTAATTAGAACTGTTACACTTATTTGGATCTAATTTAGGTGGTAAAATATTGAAAAAATGTGTAGTTGTTACCATGCAAGTAAAGAAAATGCCCAAAGCTCTTCATTATATAAAATTCTTTGTTATAAATTTTTTTTTGCTACCAGAGATCGAACTCAGGACCTTGTGCTTGCGAGGCAGGTGTGTTGCCACTGAGCTAAATCCCTGGCCCCTAAAATTCTTCATTACATTAAATAAGTATATTTTTTATAAGTATATTTACTTTTAGTGGTTTTTTAATTATCTTTATATATTTAGAAGTAAATATTTTATATTTAAGTGATTTTATTTTGTGGATCAACAGTTTTTGGGCATAATTAATTTTCATAAAACATAATAGATACATTCCTTTCTCATAGTATTAAAGAATCTTCCTCATATATTCAAGATCATAACATAGAAGAAACACCAAAAGATTGATTCACATCTGATTTTTTTAAGACATAGCATTATTTTTCAAGGTTATACTGGATTATTTTCACAAGCTCTTCCTCTTTTTAAAGCAGAAATTAAGAAGAAATGTGAACTTGTTAGAGAAGCTTGTTATGCAAGAGACTTTATCATGTTTAGTGGTCAATCTATATCCAGGAAATGAGGGATATTCTCTGATGCTCAGGGGGAAAAATGGATCAGGTAAGAACCTCCAGAATACAGTGGCCACAAAATATCTCTGCTAGTGACAGGATGTGCTGCTTTTTAAAATTAGTTTCTTACCCTGCTTAGTAGTTTATCCTTCAGAACAGTGATGCTTTACTAATGAATGCAGGTTTTTCTCTAGTATTTTTGCTAGAACATTAGAAATTATTCTAGTATGTTTGATTGTTCTTCCTGAGCATATATTTGAAAAGTGTTGTAGTTGATTTGTCTTTAAAGTCAATTTATAAAAGATGTTTTTTAAATAGTCGTCAAATTTTCCTTTTGTTCTGTTACTGTTTGTATTTTAAGATAGTATAAGATATTTTAAGTTATGTTACATTGTGAAAAGGAGTCTGAAATCTTTAAAAATAAGCAGATTCACTACCTTTGAGTAATCTTCATGTTTTAAAATATTTCAATTAATGTGAATGAAGTTTTAAAATATAAATATTTCTAGATTGCACTAAAGAGATATCTAGAAATTTAATATAGTTATAACAATACAAGTTCTACAAGGAACTCATCCAGATAAGAATTTTTACTTGCGTTGATAATTACTTAATTGTAAAATATATCACCAAGAGGATTTTGTTTTAAAAGTGACCACTTTGTGGCTGAACTGCCAAATTGTTGTTCTATTTTCCAGATTCAGTTGCTTTCCCTTTCCAGTCTAAAATGTTATACAGTTAACAGGTCTTTTAGTAAACATGTCATTCATTTGTAAAGCTTAAAGTAGGATATTAGGAGAGCCTTTTGGCTCTATTCTTTTTTTAATGTCATGTAAATTTGGCACCTAACCCTTTTGGTGGACCTCATTTTCATAAGCTTTATTTTATGTTTTAAAATTAAGATTCTGAGACAATTCGACTGCCTTATGAAGAAGGGGAATTGCTTGAATACTTAGATGCAGAAGAATTGCCTCCTATTTTGGTTGATCTCCTAGAAAAATCTCAGGTATAAAATTTTTCTTTAGAAATGTTCTGCTGGGCACAGTGGCTCATTCCTCTAATCCCAGCTGCTCAGAAGGCTGAGACAGAACAATCTCTGGAGCCCCAAAATTCAAGGCCAAGTTGGTAACCCTGCCTTTTAAAAATAAATTTCAAAAATGCCCTTATATTTGTTACATATATGATATATACGTGTATATATTTTTATATGTGTTACACTCTTACTATGTATTCCCAACAGTGTTTGGAGTATGAAATAAGACTTTATACATAATAGAAATTGGGGGGCTGGGGATTTATCTCAGTGGTTTCGCCACCTGCTGTGCAAGTATAAGGACCTGAGTTCGATCCCCGGTACCAAAAAAAAAAAAGACCTTAAGCATAATAGAAATTGGTTTATTGTAGGATGCTTTATCTTCTTACCATACTGAAATACATAGATTTAGTCAGTTGTTCTAAAACTGTTCTAACAATTAGATCATCAGTTGAAATCTCCCTGTAGTTACCATCCAGAAATTATAAAAGAAATTACTTTGATTATAAAGCTTTTTTTAAAAAAAACCTGGTAGTAGGCTGGGAACTTAGCGGAACAGCACCTGCCTGGCAAGCACAAGGTACTGAGTTCAATATCCAGTACCAAAGACAAAAAAAATCCAAAAAACCCGGTAGTCAGAAAACAGCCTTATACATGTACTTTTTCTTAACAGCTACCTGCAGCAGTCTCTTGCCACATTCTTTCTCCTTACTTCTTTGAATTAAACCCAGCCACATTGAGTACTTTTTTGAAGAAAATAAAGTCGTCAGATGGGCACTCCCATTTCCTCCTGTCATTAGTTGACCAGCATCCTACACCTTTTTCCACAATTTCTCCTTGACTTCCTGTTAAAATGAATGAATTCTTTAACTAAGTCATCCTCCCCATTTGTTTTTTGGACTTAAAACTATAATCTGCCCCTTTTCTATGTATTTTCATTTCTGCTAGATATAGAATGTAAACATACTATACCCTAAGGAAAAAAATCCTCTTTTTACCCATTTCCTTCTCCAATTATTGCTTTATAATTCTGCCCCTCTTGATAGCAAAACTACTTAAATTGTCTGTAATCATCTCCTTTGTATTACATCCCATTCTTTCTTCCAGCCACCTCATTTGGCCTTATAATGTCACCGTTCTGCAGAAGATGCTTTTGTTAAAGTTGCTAGTGACTTCCAGGACATGGAATCAATTGGTCACTTTTCTGTTCTCATCTCAGTTGGAGCCTTAGGAAAGTCCTTGCGATGTCCTTCATTTAACTTCCAAGATAGCACATTCCTTGTTTTCCTTTTCCTTCTTTATTCCTTTGTTTTTCTGTGCTGTCATCTTTGTTCTTTCCATAAAAATATACATCTTTAAGAGTTCAGTCCTAGGCCCTCTTTTTTAGTAAACTGTCCCTGAATGGTGTCATTTAGTTTCATTGACTGAACATATGTTACTTAATCTTTTTGATTGTGTCTCTTACCATGACCATTCCACTAAGGTATAATCCTGCTCTGCTTCTTTACTTAGATATATATAATAATAGGTTCCTTAAACTTATCACTATAAAAATAGAACTTTTATTAAAAAAAAATAGAACTTTTGTTTTACCTGCCTGTTATGGCTTGTGTCTAGATGTCCCCCAAGGCCTCATGCAGTGATAGGTGGGGCTTTTTCAGAGGTGGCTGGATCTAAAGTGTGTGATGCTGAGATTGATTCAAAATGGCAGCGACCTAAAAAAGTTGTTCCTTAAAATTTAGTTCATGGGCAGTAGACCCTACAGCCAAAAAAAAGCTTGGCTAACTGCTCCAGCTGACAACAGACCTTGGCACCATCCACATTGTGTTGGTTTTAGGCACATACAAGGTACAAGAGTTGTAAGGTAAAAAGGTTTCCACTCAGATTTCAAAAAGCCTGAAAGGCCAGGCCATGTGCCCCTGAGAACATGGTATATAAAACTATAAATACAAAGCCAAAAACACAATTAAAACCCTCAACATTTAAAAAAGCCAAAAACAGGGCTGGGGATTTAGCTCAGTGATTTCACCGCCTGCTGTGCAAGCACAAGGACCCGAGTTCAATCCCCAGTACCCCCCCCCAAAAAAAGCCAAAAACATAGATTGTCTTAGAAAGACTACCTAAACAAACTCAAAAAGCCAGCCCCCCCAAAAATGGCGTAAAAGCTGCAACCACCAACAGTGCCATAAGGACAAAGCCATGCAAGCCTTTAAAGTTTACAGCTTGCCATAGATGGCCAGAGTTGCAATCTTTTATTTTATTAAAAATAAAACTATAAAATTTAATGTTTGCCCTGCTAAATTTTAGTCTTGCTTTGTTCCCATTCCTTGCTGTCCCCCTATTTATAACTTTTAAAATACAAATGTCTATCTTGTGCCATTAAATGTTAAAAGTGTTTAACTTTCTTTTCATTTATACAGGGCCTACAGCTAAAATCTTTGCCTTAAATCTCAAAAAAATTTTAAACTTAGACTTTTCAACAATGCTAAAACTATTAAAACTTTAACAATTGTTAAAGACTAAATGCTTTACATAAAGAGATACGCATGTGTCTTTGGGGGTCTAGGGGCAAAATGTTATGGCTTATGTCTAGTTGTCCCCCCAAATGCTCTTACAGTCATAGGTGGAGCTTTTTCAGGGGTGACTAAACCTAAAATGTATAACGCTAAAATTAATTCCTAATATAATACTAAATCAAGGGCACTAAGATTAAAGATATAAATACTACCCAGCCTAAATAGCCTAAATAAAATATAAAAAGCCATGGTCATACCTTATTGCTTTGCTACCTCCTGTCTGCCATAATCTACTTCTCTGTGTTCCACCCTACCTTAGAGCCAGCTGATTATAAACCAAAACCTCTACAAACTGTGAACCAAATAAATCTTTCCTCCTTTAACTTTGGGTGTCAGATACTTTGTCTCAACAATAACAACAAAAATAAGACACTCCCCAACTAATTTTTTTTTTCTTTTTGAGACAGTCTCACCATATAGTTGAAGTTGTCCTTGAACTCAATATGTAGCCCACGGTGGCCTCAAACTCATGGCAGTCCGCTTGCCTCAGCCTGCTTAGTACTGGGAATACAGGCATGTGACACCGCACCCAGCCTTCCCCAACTAATTTCATCACCAGTTTCTTTAATCCAATGGATGACCCTCCTCTTGCATTCCACATTCAGTCCACCAGCAATTGTCTGCTCTCTTTTAAAATTTTCAACATGTTCATCCATTAGGGAAAGGCAAATGAAAACTGCTTTGAGATACTATCTCACCTAAGTTAGAATCTGTCATCAAGAATACAGAAATCAGTAAGTGATGGTGAGGATTCAGTAGAAAAGGAACCCTTCTGCACTCTTGGTGGGAAGGTAAACTAGTATAGATAGCCACTGTGGCTATCCATATGGAAGTTCCTCAAAAAACTAAAACTAGAGGTACCATTTGATCCATCTATAGCACTTGTTGGTGTATTTCCAAATTAAAAGCAGTATACTCTAGGGCAGTGGTGGCAAACCTGTGGCATGTGTGTTGCAGTGGGCTGTTTGTATGAATTGAAAGCTCTGAAAAGTTTGCCATTGCCGCTCTAGGGCTGTCTGCATAATCGTGTTTACTGAAGCTCAGTTTATAGCTAAGCTATAAACAGCCTACATGCCTCTCAGCAAATGAATAAAGAAAATGATTGGACCATCATATTAAGTGAGATAAGCTAGACAGAAAGTCAAATAATACGTTTTCTCTCCTATGAAGAATCTGGGGAAGAAAAAGAGATGATAATGAAAGTAGAAGAAAGACTATCAAAGATGAAGGAGGGGGAAGGAAGAAAGTAGGGGTAATAAGGGTGGAAAATAAAGTATATACATGTACCAAGATACTGTACCAAAATGAAGCATACTCTGTATAATTAATATACACTGAGAAAATTTTTAATAATTAAATATATGGTTATAACCTGCCATACTTTCTTAAACTCCCTGCTTTCATTATAGAATCACAGCCAGTTTACAAACAAAACAAAACCATAAAAGATAAAAAAAGCAAAAATTCTCTGGTACCCACCTCACTAGAGAAAACCTGTGCTTTCCTTTGTCTTCATCTCCTAATTTTCATTCTTTCTCACTGTACTCCAGCCACCCCTGCCTTTCTTTAATACTGAAATAACACTATGCATATTCCTACCACCACATGTTTTTATCTGCTCTTCTATCTAGAATGATCATAATCATTTTTGTGATTTGTATCAGCTCCAGCTCCTTCAGAGAGGTTTCTATCTCACCATACAATCTAAATTAGCCCCTTCCTATTTTATTTCTTTTGTAACATTTATTACTATCTAAAACTTGTTTATTGCTTGTCTCTCCACACTGCGCAAATGTGCAAAGTTACCTCTGTATCTGTGAATCTTAGGTAATGCCTAGAAAGTAGTATACATTGCAGTTGCTCAGCAGGTATTTGGTAAAAAGAATGAACATAAATGTGACTGATGGATAACATAGAGGTCACATTCTAAAAGTTTTGAATGGAGGAGAAACATCACATTCTGAGTGTGATCATAGCGAGTCAATGAAAAAAACTTGAATGATAATGGTGCTTATATTTGGGTAAAAAATAGTATTTTTAGGTTTATAGTTAGCTTTTCTTTTCTTACTAATAAGGGTTAAGATTTTATTTCTGAAAGTTTTAGCACAGAAAATAGAGAAATTTTATCTAGAATTTGAAACTCCTGCAGGATTGATTGGCAATTTAACAGTGACAAAGGTAGTGTGAGTCAGTGAGCTTGAAAAGAGCAGTTATCCCAAAGAGGTATGACTTTATTAGTATGTAATTGCCAAAAGTCAGTCTGTTGTCTTTGTAGGTGCCAAAGTCATCTATAACTAGAAACCATTAGACAGTTCTAAGTTGCTTCATTCATAATGGTAAACATAAAATAATTCCTCTTAAAACATATACATAATGGGGTATTCACCAAGGAAATCTATTGAAACTTAGGTGAGTGGCCAGAAATATTGCATTAGAGTGTTTAAAAAAGAGTATAAAGGCTTGTGAAAGATGACATTTACTTGAATGTTTTTACTCAAAACAGGTTAATATTTTCCATTGTGGATGTGTCATAGCGGAAATACGTGACTATAGGCAGTCCAGTAATATGAAATCTCCTGGTTACCAAAGTAGGCACATTCTCTTACGTCCAACCATGCAGGTAAGAATGTTTAATTGGAAGTTTTATTTATTTGGAGTTTTATTTATTAAATGACTTCGTATGTTTGTGTGAATTATACATTTACAAGTTTTTAAATTTTTATTTCTTCTAGACTTTAATCTGTGATGTTCATTCAATAACAAGTGATAATCATAAATGGACCCAGGTTAGTTGTTTTGTTTTTAATCCCAAACAGGCAAAATATAGTATGAGACATTAAGCAAAACCTATTTTCTACTCATGATTTTATTCATGTATGGACATTCTCTGTGAAAAACTAGGATTTCTTTATGTGTTTTGGAAGTTAAGGGTCTTTTTATACATGCAGTAATCCCTCAAGAACTGTAATAGTTCAATCCGTTGCTTATGACCATGGCAGAATTAGGCTTACTCAACATCCTATTATGAAACATTTCTTTATCCTCTTTCAAACCAAAGAAAAATACTTTTGTTTTTACTATGGCTACAAGTAGATAATTGATTTTCCATCATCCAAGATTTTAAAGCAGGTCTATCCTGTCTTGGGGGTGGGGGGTACTTATATGGGTTGCCTTGGCATCAGGGGTCCTCTCTTATCCTTGAGAATAGCCAGCTAACCTTCCAGTTCTGGCTCATTAGTGTGAGATGCCCACAAACAAGAGCCTTCCCTTCTTTTTCTGCTCCCATAGAGAGGGAACAAGTACTAAATCAAAGAAAATATCAATAATAAGAATTACCAGTCTGTGAAATGTATCTATAAAGTAAAATTTTATTCATCCACAACTGTTAAGTTCTCGTGTTGTAATTTGTGCTGCTATTTTTTCATCTATAAGAAGGTTAAAAACTGTTAAGAATATTGAAAGACAAAACTCATTGGTAATGATCAGAGGGGTTAGGCCATCGCTATCTTACTCTGAAAATTGATAAAGGAGAGAATATTTATTCTTCGATCCTGTATAAACTATTTTGGACAGCCAAATAGTAATTGAGGGAAAATTCTTTAGAAAAATTCCAGCTAATAAGTTCAAAAGAAATGGTAGACTTTTAAAAAAATATTGGCAGTTTAAAAGTCTTCATAAATCTGGACAGCAGTCATTCTTCATTGTGAAAACCAGTAAACAAGAGGTTCGTGAGAAATGTTATGGTTCAGAAATCTGATTAAACCTGCCATTCTGAACATGGGACTTCTCGGTGTGATGCAAGAGAGTAGGACATTGTAGTACCAATGAAGAAAGTAGAGCCTATGATAAATCCAGCTTCTAGATCTAGCTATTAGTTTATTGGAAATAAAAGAAGCCTTTAAGTGACATGATGAGGAAGAAGCCAGCTGTACCATTCAAGTAAATGATTTATTCAAGTCCAGCAAAATCAGTTGCATGAGAAATGGAAAAAATGTAGTGATTGTTACAGAATTAAGAGGGTGCTTATAGCCAGGTGCAGTGGTACACACTTATAATCTTGGTACTGTTGAAGGCAGGTGCAGGAGGAACACAGGTTTGAGCCCAGCCAGCCTGAACAATTTAGTGACTTAACCAGAGACCCTGTCTCAATAAAAGGGCTAGGAATGCAGTTCAGTGTGAAGACCCTAGATTCAACGCCAGTAACCCCCCCCCCCAAAAGTACTTGTAAACTAGACCTTGTTTAAGTTCAAATTCAAACAAACCAACTAAAAATACATTCTGTGGACCACAGCGGGAGGAATTTAAATCTAAATTGGATGTTAAGAGATTCTTACCTGTTAATAGTGCATGGTAACATTTTCCCAAGTAAACACAGCATCTAAGATATATTTTAAATTACTCTAGCAAAACAAATGTTAGGAGGATATCACTAAATGAAATTAGGTGTTGGTATGTAGGTATTATTACACCCCTACTTTTTTGTATGTTTGAAAAAATCCCCATAGTAAAAGTTTAATGAAATTATTGCCAGGCATAGTGGTGCATGCCTATAATCCTAGCACTCAGGAGAGTGGGGCTAGAGGATTGCTGAGAGTTCAAGCCCAGCCTGGGCTAAGAGCAAGACTGTCGAAAAAGAGGAGGGAGGGAGGAAGCATTTTTCTCTAAAAGTTCTTATTTGACAATATTATTTGACTTTAAAAACTTGCTATAGAAGGTTGAGGTGAACTTGGTGGTAGAGCCACCTGCATAGCATGTGTGAAGCCCTGGGTTCTGTCCCCAGCATTGCAAAATATAACATAAAATATAGCTAGTAAGATATTTCAGGGCCAGGGATTTAGCTCACTGGTTCTGCCTCCTGCCTCACAAGCACAAGGACCCGAGTTCAATCCCCAGTACCAAAAAAAAAAAAAAGATATTTCAGAGATCTAGCAAAAAACAAACAACAAAAAAAGTGAGATTTGGGGGCGGGGGATTTATCTTAGTGGTTCTGCCACCTGCCTTGAAAGCACAAGGTCCCAAGTTTGATTCCTGGTCCCCCCCCAAGAAAAACCCATGAGATTTGGTAAAGTAAGTTATTTGATACCAGTAAAAAGCCAATATTTATTTTGGATTTGGGTACATAAAATTTGTGTAGTGTTACAATAAGTTTTCTGGTTTTTTTTTGAGATGGGGTCTAAGTACTCCAGGCTAACTTCAAACTCAGGTTCCTCCCCTTCAGCCTCCTGAGTAGCTGGGATTATGGGCATGTGCCCCTGTACCTAGCTTAACTATGTTAAATTTGGTATTGACATATGTTCTTCTAAATTGCAGGAAGATAAGCTTCTGCTTGAGAGCCAGCTGATTCTAGCTACAGCGGAACCACTGTGTCTTGATCCTTCCATAGCAGTAACCTGCACAGCAAACAGACTGCTCTATAACAGGCAAAAGATGAATACTCGCCCTATGAAACGGTAATTGCTTTTGTTGACAGTGAACCAAAACACTTCTGTGATAAGTAGCTATATATTTTTCTGTCCATGGTGCCTTTTTCCTTCAAATGTGAATGTCTCTCTGGCCTTCTGAACTATCAGCTAGCTCCATGGTAATGGGAATTTTTTAGTCATTTTTATTTTGCCAGTGCCTGGAACAGTGCTCAGCATGTAAAAGTATTCTGCAAATATTCGTGATTTAATTAATCATTGCTTAATTGTCAAACCTATACATGAGTTTATTAGCTTTGTTTAGTCCAAATCTCTTAATATTTTAGGTGTTTCAAGAGATATTCCAGGTCTTCTTTGAATCGGCAGCAAGATCTATCTCATGGTCCACCTCCTCCTCAGCTGAAATTACTTGATTTCTTACAAAAACGAAAGGAAAGGAAAGCAGGTCAGCATTATGACCTGAAAATTTCTAAAGCAGGAAATGTAAGTATATATATTTTTTAACAAACCTTATGCCAACAAGCTCACCTTAATTTGAATTTTGTACTTAAACTGTTTTTAATTTTTCAGTGTGTAGATATGTGGAAACGGAGTCCCTGTAATTTGTCCATACCTTCTGAAGTGGATGTAAGTCATAAGTTAGCTCATAAACTGTTTTTTTTTCCACATACAGTTGCTGTGTTTTATCATTAGGTAGTTAATACTATATCTTGAGGGGGAAAAAACCTTAATTCTTTTAAAAATAAAATGATTTTTTTTAAAACCAACTGCTCATTTTTAGAAATTGTGTTCTTCACATGGAGTTATATGAGACTGTAACTCTTTAATACAGTTCTGCATTTAGAACAGAAATAACTATTTGAAAATGTGGGAAAATGTGATATATATGAGTGTAATATGTACACATGAAATGCTTCTGATTTTTCATGCATTTCTTTATAATCTGCTAATAGTGCTTCTTTCCTCAAACTGCTTAAATGTAAAGATTGATAATATTGAACCAGTGGCAAAATTAGGTACTTACACAGTACTTTTCACTGATTTATGATACATATAAACTACAAAGGATGACCAAAAAATACAGTGAACATTAAATATTTATTACAGTAAAAAATACATTGACATTAATCCCCCTCACAATACTACATTTCATTTCTGACGCTTTTATCCCATTGTTCTTGCCACTTCTAAAGCATTTTTGAAGTCCCCTTTAATGAGCATCTTTATAAGATATGACCACAATTCAGTGAATGCTACTGCTACATGCCATCCAATAGAAAGGCAGTCATGTAAAAATGTTATGGTGTGTCCTCATCCACCTTATTCTTGGGATCTGGCACAGTGTAACCTTTGGCTCTTCTCCAAAGTCACAATGACAATGAAAGTTAAAACTTTTGAATCCATTTAGGACATCGAAGTAGCCACAGTAACAACTATAATATATTCACAAAAGAGGGCTCACAAGAGGCATTGTCCAGCTGTGTCTATCATACTACATTAGTAGCCAAATAAATTTTACTTTTATTTTATTATTTAAGTTGTCTTAATTGAGCATATAGGAGAATTTTGAGCTGCTTAAGCATTAAATAGTTGGTGATACAGTATTGAGTCACAAATCAACATTAATAACTATATCTGTATTGAGTTCCCGTTGGTCAGAATAGTGATTGCATTTTCTATAGCATCTTGATTTGATTGTGTAGGTGGAGAAATATGCTAAAGTGGAAAAATCTATCAAATCTGATGACTCACAGCCAACAGTCTGGCCAGCCCATGTAAGTAATCATTGCCAATCTTTGCTTCTAATGATGCTGTTTCTAATCTGAGATCTGAATTTATTAAACATATAGTTACTTTTAATCTGGAATCTTTTTTCTTTTTTTTTTAAGGAATTTTCTAGGATTTCAGTGAATTATAAGGAATAATCATTTTGTCTTTTATAAGTATAGCTTCCATTGTAAAGAGTTATTTTAATGCATAATTGCATTTTTACTTTTGTTTTGGTGGCATATTGGTAGTTCTCATTTGCTTTTTGTTTCAAATTAGTACATTCTTTTAAGGATATCTCTTAAAAGAAATGTTCTAATCTCTAGTTGCAATAATATCTTCTTAAAGGGGGAGATAGGCATAATGTATTAAATTAGATGAACCAGAAGAGTGAAATAATATATTTTGTACATACGATTTTGTGTTTGTGTGACTAAAATAGATCTGCTTTCAGATTTTATCCTATTAATATTAACATTTGCAGTTTATGTGTCCAGCATGTAAAACTTTCTTGTAAACTTATTTAACTAAATATTCAGTGCTCTCATTCCCAAAGCACTGTGTGACACAGAATCATGTGTAGCCCTGTTGAAGGTAGAGGGGTGGGGTGGGGGCCCAGGGTACATGCTGGGGACCACAGGCAAGTACTTAGATGTTTGCTCAGTTAGCTTAATTTAACATGAGGATAATAGTGCCAGCCATAAAGATGTGAAGATTTCATGAGGCTGAACCTATAGTGTGCTGACAGTAATGTTCAATAAATACTTATTGTTGTGATTTTAATTATATTCATATTTTTACTTATTAGTTTCATTACATGTTCACACTTCATTGTTACATGATAATGCTTCATTAGGAAAGAACTATCCTAGCTTTATTTTCAGGAAATCTTGTGCATTTCTAAGTGCCGGTGCATCTTCCTGTTACCAGACATAAGTTAAAGTGTCATTTATCTCTAATGTTTGCTAATTCTGGTTGCTTAGTTACTTGAAAAGGTTTTATGTGGGATGCTCTTTTGCAGGATGTAAAAGATGACTATGTATTTGAATATGAAGCTGGTAATCAGTGTCAGAAAACAAAGCTCACCATCTTGCAGTCACTTGGTGATCCACTTTATTATGGTAAAATCCAACCATATAAAGGAGATGAAGAAAGTGACAGCCAGATGTCTCCATCCCAGTGAGTTCTATTAAATACATGTAGTGGACAGAAGCAGAATATATTTAGCAACTACCTGTCAGCAACTATTAATGAGTTAAAGTTTCTCTGTAGGGATGCACCTTTTGTTAAATAGATTTGACAGGGTATGTGAAGAAATGTAAATCATAGTTACCATGTTGTCTGGCTCATTTAAATAATGATTTATTTTAAAGAATACTATAGTGTAATTTCTTTTATGTGTTTTTTTTTTTTTTTTGGTACCGGGGATCAAACTCGGGACCTTGCACTTGCGAGGCAGGCGCTGGAACCACTGAGCTAAATCCCCAGCCCTGTAATTTCTTTTATGCTAGCTTTGAAGATTATTTCTGGGATGTCCTTCTTGGTTTACTTATGTATTCACAGTTTATATCGTTGATCTTGCAAAACATGTGTACTATATATATGTAGTACAGATTACAGTTTACTTTGTTTTTGAGACAGTGTCACTGTGTAGTTCAGGCCAGCCTTGAACTCCAGATCCTCCTGCCTTATCCTCCTGAGTGCTGTAATTATAAGCCTGTGCCACCATACCTGCTTCAGTATTTAGCTTTGTTTATTTTTACTGTTAGTTTCATTACTAGTTTTATTTTTTAAATCACATGATAATGTTTTGAAAAGAATCATATGAAGAAGGCTCAGCAGAAAAAGGCAGGGGCCAGATTTATGTCAAACTTTTTAAAGCCCTTTATAAAATAATAATTGAAATGAAAGTAGAAAGGTAGATTTTTAAAGAGTAGCTTCACCAATACGTAGATGAAAGTCAGTGAGCAGAAATAGTCGCAGTTAGGGACTCCTCAGCTAAGAGAGTACAAAGATCAGATATTTTGATTACCTGTATTTAAGAAAATCTTCCCTAATGACATACATTGGTCATTTTAAACTTACTAACTTTTCTAGAGCATGAGGGTATATGTTCTCTCATGAAAAATTAGGCCAAAAAGCACACAGACTTTGACAGGAAAAGAGTTCAATTTTTGGCATTACATCAAGTGCTGCATGATTTATTATCTCCTAGTCATTCATTGGTATTCATAAATTATTGAGTAACTCTGAAGTTAAAATTTGAGCTGCATTAACTAAATTTTTTTTAACATTTTATATTTTTCAGCTCCTTCACAGATGATCATTCAAATTGGTAATTGAAAATAAGCACTATTTTAATTTGTTAAGAAAGTCAAACTTTTAAAGGACATGGTAAAGATATTTTATTTGAACCAGCAATAAGCTGTCTTCCTTGTCTGAAATATCTTCTAAGGTCCTATTGTGTAGACATTAAGAATGACTTTGAGCTAGGCATGTTGGCCTATAATCCCACCACTCTAAGAGACTGAGACTCAGGCAGGAGGATCACAAATTCAAGTCCAGCCTAAGCAATTTAATGAGACCTTGTCGCAAAAATTTTTTAAAAGAGCTGGAAATACAGCTCATTGCAAAGTCTGTGGCCTCAATTCCTAGAATCAGACAACAAAATGACTTCCAAAATCTAAGAGGAAAATGAGTGGAAGGCCAAAAGGCCCTGAATACAGTAGTTCAGTGATTTTGCAATAGGGCCAAGCCATTTCTTGTATCAGTGATCATTTTTAGGTGGTAAATTGGTAATTTTCAGGCCAGATTATGTTTTGATAAATACTGTGACAAAGTAACTGTCTCCTTAGTTAAATCATTCACATTATACATAATTACTTCATAATGCATGCAAAACTTGTTCATTGCTTCATAAGTTTAAATATATTTTAAATTTTTTTATGATGCTTTGGTAGATTTAAAATCCATTTATAAAATTACTGTGACTAAAATGTGAAAGGCTTGAAAAGTAATCCCATGGCTTTTTAACACATTCTTATCTAATACTTTTCTTTTTCTTTCCCTTTAACATTTAGGTTCATTATTGGGTCAAAAACTGATGCTGAGAGGTAAAAAATATACTTGCATCTTTATTTTTAGCCAGAATGGATATGAAAAGTTTTTTACCTTACACATTAGAGAATACTTTCTTAGAAGGCATAAACTTTCATTTTAGTTATGCCATTTACTGCTTGAAATTCTTCAGATTAGTAAATCATTTAATTTTATAAGCTTCATGTGAAATTAGGTAATTAAAAAAATTTCTAAGGTCCTTTCCAACTTTAAAATCCTTCTGATTCTAGGAAAATATTGGAAGATGTCATATAACAAAAATAATTATTTTCATGGCTACAAATTTTTATGGCTAAAAATAGTTATTTTCATGGAATAAGATTTTGAGGGACTTAACTGAATCTTTCTGATATTTTAATGCCTAGGATGTTTTCATAAAATCAAGAAAATAGTTAAAGAATATGTTTTAACTAGTTTTGTTTTAAATAAGAAAACTTAGACATCTACTTTAGCTATAGAAGATGATTTTAATCGGAATCTAAGAATAAGGCAGTGAATAACTTCTTTGGCTGCTTATTGGTTAAATTATCCCTGCAATTTCTATATTAGAAGTAAAATATTAAAAATGTATCTTTAAATTGTTAGCAAAATGTTTTTAACATTAGCTTGTCATTGAAAAGATTAGAAAGAATTTAACACAAAGATAAATTAGATTAATTTTTATTTTTGTGTTAGATTTCATGGAACATTTTTTCCAGTAACGGCATTATTCATTTTCTTTATAATAAATTTGTTTTTCAAACAGGGCTAGCAGTTCTTACCTATTTTCTCCTAATACTCAGGGTTGTTAATCAGTACCAGGAATTGGTCCAGAATGAAGCCAAATGTCCAGTCAAGATGTCACACAGCTCTAGTGGCTCTGCCAGTCTAAACCAGCTTTCTCCTGGGAAAGAAACAGAAGTATGTTTCATTACTATTACTTTTTGTACCTAATTGTTTCTTAGGGAATCTGACAGATGTTAAGGATTATATTTTGAGAGGAAGGGAGATTATTTAGTTTAGATTTTAACTTTTTTATGATAGAAACTTTCAGAAGCATACAAAGAAAGGATAATACAATGAATGTTTATATGCTGTTCAGTCTGGCTTCAGCGATTACTTTCCTGGAAAAAAAAGTAGAAGAGGTTGGAAGCTTCACCCTCATCTTAACTCTCCTGGTCTTCTCCTTTAGAGTCTCTCTTCCCTCTATATTGCTCAGAAATCTTTCCGTCATCCTATAGGTGTGCTGCAATATATCTCATAGGTTTCATGTGAAATTATATTCCTTTGTTACATCTGTGATATTCACTGTAACCACTAAGGATAGTTTGAAGTTATAAATCGGTTTCCATCTGGGAGTTAACTGTGGTAGTAATTTTAATTTTAATACGTATGCTTAATGTCACTATCTTTCAGCAGGCAGAGACTGTGTCGGTTCAGTCTTCAGTATTGGGGAAGGGGGTAAAACATCGACCTCCACCCATCAAACTTCCCTCAAGCTCAGGGAATAGTTCCTCAGGTATTAAAATCCTTACTTTTATATAATTTAAAGTAAAAAAATATATACAATTACAATCTTTAAAAACATTACTTATTTTTATTTATGCAACTCACAAAATATTGAATTACAAATCTAGGAAATAATTCTCATGTTCTTCTTCTAGGTAACTATTTCACACCACAACAAGCCAGTAGCTTTCTTAAATCTCCAACTCCTCCTCCTTCTTCTAAGCCACCAAGTCTTTCTCGAAAGTCATCAGTGGATCTCAATCAAGTTAGTATGCTTTCTCCAGCTGCCCTGTCACCTGCCAGCTCATCACAAAGTAAGTCATAACTTAAATTCATTATTAAATTTTCGTAAGCTTTTGCATTGATGTTTTTCAACAGAGCTTTTTTCTACCTGTGAAATAATGAAATCTAAATGTACTGTGTACCCAAAGTGTATAAGTTGCAAGAAGCTTCAAGCAGAGCTCTTGTTTGTATGTATTATGTGTTCGTTGTAGTGTGTTTTTCTGTATCTATGTATGTACTCTGTATATTCCTTTCTTCTAGACTTTCAACCTACACAACTCCTTTAAAAATATTCTCATAGTTACATGTGGCAATAAGACTCCAAAATATTTTTTATTCTAGTGTACCCTAGGATCATTTTACACTTATATGTGAACCATGTGGCTGATGTGGAAAAAATGTCATAAGAATTGTTGCTGCAGGTCCAGTCTTTGTAAGAAGCCAGTTAGTTCTAAAGTGGTGATAAAATAAACTGAAAACCAATATTTCAAAAACACTCCTACACTTTTATAAATTGTTGTCAGTTACTAAAATGTGATGATGATCATAAAGCATTATTCTGGATATTAAAAGTGTAATTTTTAGTGCTGGATACATGTTTAACATCAAGAAGAGTTATACATAAATGCTAGTATTAATTTGGGAGAATTTCTTCAAATTGGTAAATATCTGAATATTTTAGGTACCAATTTGGGAAAAAAGCATTGCAGTTTTTTAGATTTTTTTATAGATAACCAATGTATGCTGGAAGTTTTAGAACACTGCACAGTGTTAGGATGGTCTTTAAATTAGATATAAACATCTTCCTCTCGATAGCTCAAAAGGTGTAATTTTTCTGCCTTCTTGTTTTGCACAAAGAAAAGTATATAAATTTTCTGAAAGTCTTATTCACACTTCTTATGTTGTGGGTATGGATTATGGTAATCTACTGCACACAGTTGTTACTTTAAGTAAGGGTTGAGTGACAGCTTCTGGACATTCACATTTCTTTCCTTTCTTTCTGCAGGACATGAAAGCTAAAAAAGAAAACACCTCAAGAGCTTTTGGTTTTACTTTTTTGGTTTTTGTTTTTTATTTTCGTTTTTTTTTTTTAATTGATAAACTGTGCATACTTCATTCACAACAGATTTTCTATACATTCTACATTTAAACAGAAGTACACAGTTACTGTTAAAGATGCAGTATTATCTATCAAATATTTACTTTATTACTGTTTTTTTGTAAATTTGTTTGCCAGGATAACCTTGATGTGTTAGGACTTAAACATGTATATGCAGGTGCCAAATATGATTGTTAACCATATGTAATTTATAAATATGTTCACAGTTTATCGCAGACTATTACACTGAATAAGCAGTATTTTTTAAAGTCTTGAATTAATGAAATCGTAAATAATAAAACTTAATTTGAGTTCCTTTTGAGCTTTTTAGGCCAAAGGCAGCATGTAGGAAACTAACTTTTAAATGGGTATTGTGATAGAATACAAATGTATATTTTTACTGTTACTGTAGTAGCATCTCTAATGGGATATTTTAGGTGATATACTGCATCCTTAATTGTAATTGAGTGTAGCAGTACTCATGTATCATGTGTAGAAATTAACACTTGCAGTTAACTGCTTAAAAAAACTGGAACAAATTGTCAGTGCTAAGTAAGATTCCATTAACCTTATTTTTAAAAGGACTGGCCATTTATAACAAACTAGCAATTTTTATTTTTCTCAATGAGCAGGATCTGGAACTCCTAAGCCATCTACTCCTACACCAACCCCTTCATCGACCCCACACCCTCCTGATGCTCAGAGCTCAACTCCTAGTACCCCTTCAGCCACCCCTACTCCCCAAGATTCAGGCTTCACCCCTCAGCCCACTTTGTTAACTCAGTTAGCTCAGCAGCAAAGGTCTCTGAGCCAGGCAATGCCTGTAACGACCATTCCTCTTTCCACCATGGTAACATCTATAACTGCAGGAACCACGGCCACCCAGGTCATGGCAAACTCTGCTGGATTTAACTTCATCAATGTAGTGGGCTCTGTTTGGTAAGTTTGTAAGGATGACCTGATTTTTTTAAGATATTCTCATCAATCTAAATAAATTCATATTTATGAGATTAAAAACAAGTTATTATTCAGACTGAAAGACAGTAGTTTAGATATGGAAAGAAGTCTCACATGTATGTTTTAATTCTACTTATGTATCTATATGTGCACTAAGGTTCTTCATACTGACAGCAGCATAGATTTTTCTGTTTATCTTCTTTTACCATCTTTCAATCTCTTGGTTAATACTTTGCAAATATTTCAAAACTGTGATATATATTCTGTACATGCTTTTAGCCAGTCTTGCTGCCAATCTTATCCTCTCTGACATTCTGAAAATGATACTGAGCCTAAAATTGATTTTTAAGACAGAGAAATAATTTTGTCTTGTAGTTTGTTTTTTAATCTGAGAAATTATGTGGCTTATTTTTTCTTTCACAGTGCAAGTTTAATTCTTTGTTTTATTCTTCTACAGTGGAGCCCAGGCTTTGATGACTGGTTCAAACCCCATGCTGGGCTGTAACACTGGTGCCATAACTCCTACAGGAGTAAACCTGAGCGGCCTTCTCCCCTCAGGGAGTCTGCTACCAAATGCATTGCCCAGTGCTGTGCAGGCAGCTTCTCAAGCAGGTCAGAAGATTGGAAATAATAAGTGCTAAAAAATTGAAGTACATGCTCAAGTAAAAGTGTTATTTTAACATTATTACTGAAGGCATTTAATGTTATTTCGTGAAGTATTATACCCTGGGTATTTAATTTTCAAGCCTAATTTTCAGGCCTTTACAATTTGGTATTTGAACTAAACCACAGAATTTAAAACTTCTGTGAAGAAACTTGGTAAATCTGTAAGTTTATGTACATACTGTCTTTTGCTTCCTAAACGTTATAATTAATTTTGTTAGCTTTGTTGCTATCGATGTCATTTTTCAGAGAAAATAAATTATTTTGAAAATGTCTATTGTATAAGAGACAACATAGCATGGTAGTTAAAAGCCTAGGTTCTGGAGTCTCACTGCTACTACTTGAATTCAGTTTGGGCAACTCACTGTTTGTATAATCTTGGAAAATTGACCTTTATGCCTCATTTTCCTCCTGTATAATATTCAGTAAATAAATGGCAATAGCATTTTATCTCCTAGTTATGAAGATAAAATGAGTAAACATAAATGAAGTACTTAAACTGTACAGGAGACATAAGCATTCAAAAAGTACTTGTCATCATTTGTAATAATAGTTTTATTGTAGTTGTTACTCTTTAACTGGAAAACGTATAAAAATTTGTACCATTTTCTGATGTTCTTTAAAAGAATGTATTATAAATCAGTGATGCCTCAGTTTATGAATTTAATTTGTTTCATGATTTTGGGAAAGATGACTGGGTTTGTGTTTGTGTGGGGAAGATGGCTGTGGTCGTGTTTGTCACACACAAAAAAGTTTATAAATGAACACTTTTGTTTGTGAGCCAAGTTGTTTGCAAAGAGAAGCATTCGTGAACTGAGGTATTACTGTACTTTGGAACAATTCAATTTCTTACTGTTGAGGAAAAATTTAACAGAAAAAACAACATTGAAAAATTTATCAAAAACTTCCTATGAATTATGAGAATCAATATAATTTAAACACGTTAATATGTTGTAATGATTTCACACTTGAGGCTTATATTTTATTTTAATGAACATAAGTTGCTTTAGTGGCAGAAACCCTGGAAATAGAATCAAATCTTCAATTAGGACATTTACATATACATTAACTACCAGTTGTACCAGTTACATATGGTTTCTTACTAACTGTGAGACCTTAGAGAATTCACCTAACTTTTCTCTCTTGGCCTCAGTTTCATCCACTGTAAAATGGAAGTAAAAATGTTTTAACTTCAGTACTTCTGAGAAATGAAAGTATGAAAGTGCCTTTGGTGAGCCAGAAAGCACTTTACAGATGTCATCCGCCTTTATGTGCTATGCAGTGCACAGTAAGCCATTTTTATGAGCATTATCCCCGAAACAGATACCAATTTTATCATATTATAATTGGATTATACCTTTTCACTTTCTTATGAAAGACCTTGATAGTGTCAGTGTGAATTTTCTGCCTCAGCTTTTTTAATAAAATCTGATAAAGGACAGGATACATTTTTTGTTTTGTGTTGTTGTTGTTGTTGTTGTTTTTTGGTACCGGGGGCATCTTGCACTTGTGAGGCAGGCGATGGAACCACTGAGCTAAATCCTCAGCCCAAGATACATTTTCAATTAGTGTTTAGATTGGTGTATTTTGTAATATGAACAAAATATACACATACTTTGAGAACAAGATAAGCAGACCACAGTTCATAGTCTAAGAATGGTCTTCACTTTTTGGTCTTGTTTTGTTTTTTGTTTTCTTGCTTTTTTGAGATAGGGCCCCACTATGTAGTTCAGGCTGGCCTTGAACTCACAGCAGTTCTGTCCCAGCCTCTCAAATGCTGGAATTACAGCCATGCACCACCATGCCCAGCCAAGTTTTCACTGTTTTTTTTTTTTTGGTACTGGGGATGGAACTCAGGACCTTGCATTTGTGAGACAGGCGTTGTCACCACTGAGCTAAATCCCCAGCCCAAGTTTTCACATTTTTAAAACAAAAAGCAAAATACATATCAAAGATTATATGTGGCCCACCACACCTACATTGTGGCTGTTTACTAAAAATGTTTACCCAACTCACCCTTTATGTGCTCTATTTTGTGTCACTAATTTTTAGGAACAAGTTCAGAATTAACAGCATTGTTTTCTGACATTGTGGTTTTGATCCTTAGCTGCAAAATTCAGCATACTTTAGTATTTTGATTATTAGCCTTTGTACTTAAAAGAAAAAGTACAGAGCACACCAGTTCCGTTCTCAGAGATAGGATTATTATATATCGTTTAGCACTGAATAGTGTAAATGCCAGTATCTGAAATATATTTGCAAAACAGACAACAGAAAGTTTTATTATATTCATAGTGGCCATATAATTCTAAATTATTCTTTTTACAGGCAATAGTCACAAAAGTGAAAAAGAAATCTGAGTTTCTGAAATACAGAGTATAATGTACATCTAGTACTTTGAATCTAGTACTTTGTATCTTTGAATACAATCTCAATATTGATATTGAAGAAAATGTGTTTTTAAGGTTTTTGAAATATGGAAAATAAGCACATTTGTGGGGAAAGTACATGAAATATATTAAAAGTATAAATCATTTTCATAGGTACTACAGTTGTGATTGTGTTATAACCATGAGTTTTACTTAACAGGTGTTCCATTTGGTTTAAAAAATACTTCAAGTGTGCGGCCTTTAAATCTACTCCAGGTAAAACTGAAAACACAGCTTTTGCTTAAAGTTTTTATTCTTCAATTTTTTTTTCCAATAATGTGTATCTACACAGAATACCCTTTGAAATTTTGAGGTCTGTTCAGAATATTTTCAGGGTACAGTTATTGCTACTTTTGTGTGATCAGGAAGATAAGGAGAAACAATATTTTATAGATCCCACTTTTAATCACTCCTGCAGCCCTCTCTAATCAAGAACTTTTATACCTGCCTGGTTGGATGCATGCCCACAGTAGAGGTAGTAGATACACTTAGAGACTAATTCTGCTGTGAGCAGACATTTCATGTACACATACAGTATTTGTATACGGTAGGCTTACAGTAGATTTTGTGCTTGAATAGAGAGTATAAAATATTTGTGGGTTCTTGATTTTATATTTAGTATTTATACATTAAGGAAGGAAAAATTGAACTTCTGCTATCTGGGCTGTATTCAAATTTACCCAAATGCAGAGTATCTGTTTTTTGTTGTTGTTTTGACTATACAGATCTAAGAATTCTATGATTGATATTTACTTGGAATTTCTATAAGGACCTCAAAGTGCTTATTACTTAAACTCCTTCCTTATAACTTAAAAAGGAAAAACATTTTTCTGGTGTATTTGAAATAACTCTTCTTAATTTGTAACTTGGAGTTTTCTGGGTGTTTCTTTTTTTTAATTTTTAAAAAGATTTAATTTAGTTTCAAAATAAGAGTTTGCATGCATTTTTTGTTTCTTTGGCAAAGCTAGAACAAATTTTGGGAAATAGCTTGTGTTAACATGTATTTCTGATTCATGACATCTTACTTATTTTTAGTGCATTTAATGTTCTTTTATACTGATGTGTAAGATCTAAATCATTGTAAATTTGGATAGCTATTAACCTTGAAGCAGAAAGATTTCTTTGAAAGTGTTAATATACTTGAAACCCAGAGTAATAGCACTTAAAAAAATTATTTCTAAATAGATCTTTTTTAAGGACAGATAACTTAATTTGTTTTGCTTTTTCTTCATGTCTTTCCTCAGTACCTACCTAGAAGAGCACCTGATGCATACATAGTAAATGTTCCCCAAAACTATGTGGAATAAAGAAATTTGAATGTTTCGTGTAAAAATATAGTAATGTGAGTCTAGCTAATTTATTCTTGTTTAAATTCAAAATAGCTTCCTGGTGGTTCGCTTATCTTTAACACCCTGCAGCAGCAGCAGCAGCAGCAGCAGCAGCAGCAGCAGCAGCAGCTCTCTCAGTTTGCACCACAGCAGCCTCTGCAGGCCACAGCTTCTGGTCTTCAACAGCCAGGGGAGCAGGTATGGTTTTTGCCTCCTCTATGCTTTCACTATAGAAATAGGACATTTTTTCATACATTCCAACCATATTTCAAGTGGCTTCATTTAACTTGTTGCTACAAACATTTTCTGCCCTTTCTTTATTAATAGTAGTAACTCAGTTAATAGGTAACCATTTTTAATAGAACAGACATTCTGAATAGCTGATGTTGCAGTTTGCATAGTGGGAATCAAATTGAGAAAAATGACTTATAGCTGTACATTGAATGGCCCTTATAGCTCATGTGTTTTCTACCCAGTCATCCTTCTTCTGTTTGTTTGGTGCTAGAATAGAGCTGTCTATATTGTCATAAAGTGTAGGGCAGTGGGAACGTGGACAAAAGCAAATATTATATACTGCTAAACAGAGTGAAATTGAATAAACAGCAGTAAAGTAGAAGGAAGAGCTACCAGTGTTTCTGAACCTTGGCCACATTCCAGAATCACCTGAGAAACTAAAATCTATATATTATAGATTCCTGCATCCTACCCCTGTTACACAGATACATGAAATATTCCTTCAGGTGTGGTGACACACGTAATCTCAGCTTTATGGGAGGCTGAGGCAGGAGGATCTTAAGTATGAGTCCTGGTTAACTTAGTGACTTACCAAGATACTGTCTGGGGGTGGGGGGGCTGGACATATAGTTCAGTTTGAAGCCCCTAAATACAATCTCCAGTCCTGCAAAAAAAAAAAAATCTATGTATATGAAATATTCACCATCAGTGCTTTTTCCAGAGTCTTGAGTGATTTTTTTCATGTTGTAGAAGTGAAACTTCATGCCCAGTAAACAGCTCCCTGTTTCCTCCCCCTTTTGGTTGCTGGCACTCACCATTCTGCTTTATGTTTCCATGAGTCTGAGTGCACTAACTACTTCATATTAAGTGAAATATACAGCATTTGTCCTTTAGGGTCTGGCTTATTATCTCTTCAGAGAGATTATTCTCTTCTACTTTTTTGAGAAGCACCATAGTGTTTTATATAGGGGCTGCACCATTTTACATTCCCATGAACAGTGTACAAGAGTTGCAGTTTGTCCAAATCCTTACCAGTACCTGTTATTTTCTGAGTTTTGGGTTGTTTTGTTTTGAAGGGCTGGGGGATCAAACCCAGGGCCTTGTGTATGTTAAGCATACACAAAGCACTTGCTTTGTATGATTTTGAGAAGTCTGTTGCCAGTCTAATTTTCTTGCTGTTCTGAGTGTATTTATTTAGTCATTTTGCTTTAGAGGACCTTATCTTCAAAGACTAATATTTTCACTTTGTTTTTTGGTTGTTGTTGTTGTTTATTTGTTTGTGTTTTTGAGGGGTGTTTTTGAGACAGGGTCTCACTCAATTCAGGCTGGCCTCCTGCCTCAGCCTCCCAAGTGCTGGGATTACAGGCTTATGCCACCACACCCAGCAATATTTTTACTTTGATACATACGAGAATTGATCTTGCCATGTCTTTGCTGTGGGCCCGCTTAATATGTCTTTTTTTTTAAACACTTTCCTGGGAATCTTAGATTACTGGGTTGAGGCCATTCTTTTCTAGAATAAACATTTAATATAATGCATTTTCTTCACAGTATTGCTTAAGCTCCTTTTCCACTAACTTTGATATACTATACCTTAATTTTCAAGAATGATGTAATATCATTTTTTAATTCCTCTTAAATGGGCTTTAGATGTATGTTTGATTTCCACATATTTGGGGATTTTCCAGGTAACTTTCTACAATTGATTTCTAGTTTACTGATTTTTGTTTGTTTGGTTTGTTTTTGTCAATATTGCAGACTGAACCCAAAGGGTTCACTTTGCACTGAGCTGCATCCCTGGCCCTATTTCATTTTGAGGCAGGGTCTGCTAAGGTTGCTAAGTTGCCCAGTCTGGGCTTAAATTTGCAATCCTTATGCCTCAGCCTCCCAAAATACTAAGATTACAGGCAATGTACCACCATGCCCAGCTTTGATTTCTAGTTTAAATCCAGTGAAAACATGCTTTTGTTTCTTTTAAGTTTGTTGATGTTTGTTTTATGAACTAGTTTTGCTAAGTATTCTATATATGTGTGAGAAAATGTGTATCACATGCTGAGGGTTCTATATCGCTTGTAGCATAGAGGCTCCTCCTTACTGAGTTTCTTAGTTTTGCTCCATCAGTTACTGGGAATATTCCAGCACAAACTATGGAAATTTCTGTTTCTCCTTTTAGTTCTGTCAGTTTTTGCTAGAGGTTATTTTTGAAGCTGTATTTTTGGGTATGTGCACAGTTAGGATTATGTCTTTGACTTCTTATAATTAATAAATGACCTTTTTAATCCAGTAGTATTAATGTTTTTGCTTTATCTTGATTAATATTAGCATAGTATATCTTTATCCTTATAGTTTTTCCTCTATTTTTATAATCTCTTATTCAAGGTATGTAGTCATTATTCCTGCATGTTTGTGAATATTTAATTCCATTTGTGGTATATATGATCTTCTTTACCTTTGTAAGGTGGTTTTAGGGGAAAAATTTGTATCAGCTATTGTTTTTTACATTTTGGATTTTTTGTTTGTTTTATAATAGCTGTGTGCTGGAGGTGATGTGGTTTACTTTTTTATATTGTTCACTTCATGAATCTTGTTCCAAGTTCAAAAGCGTTCTCTTATATCAGCTCTGTGCTTTTCTGTTCAGAGATGTCCCATTAAGATAAATGCAAGTTTTTTTAAATGTTTGATTTATATTTTATACTGAAATATTTCAGCTGCTATGTCTTTTGCTATGCAAAAGTTTTTAATTTCGATGAAGTCCAAGTTAATTTCTTCCTTTTATAGAATGTATTTTTGGTATTAGGATTGAGGTCTAGGTCCCAAAGATTTTTTTTCCCAATATTTCATCTAATAGTTTTATACTTTTTATTTTAAAGTAATGGCCCATTTTTAGGTAATTTTTGAATAAAGTGTGTAAAACTTAGGTCCATTAAGTATTTTTCAATTTTTTTTTTTTTTGGTACCAGAGATTGAACTTGGGTCCTTGTGCTTGCGGGGCAGGTGGCAGAACCACTGAGCTAAATCCCTGGCCCCCATTCACTATTTTTTAGAGGCGTGAGACTATAAATGTACAGTTGCCTCCACACCAATGGTTGAAAAGCTGCTCCTCCTCAATTGAATTACTTTGGCTCCTTTGTTATTTTGGCTGTATGGATCTGTTTGTGGGTTCTCCGTCCTGTCCCATTGGTCTGTTGTTTATTACTTAGCCAATAAATACCCCGCTGCCTTGATATTGTACATTGTATAGTAAGCATTTAAGCAGAATGATACTTCCCACTTTATTTTCAAAATTGTTGTTTTTCAAAATTGTTGTAGCTAATCTAGATCTTTTCTCTTTCCATACAAATTCTGGACTCACTTGTCTATATCTACAAAAAAAAAACCTATCTGGGTTTTTTAAGGAATTAAATTAAACCTGTTCATCTGTTTAAGAGAATTGCATTCTTTATTATGTGAATCTTTTAATACTTAAACACAGAAATACCAAAATCAACGTTTTATAGGGTTTTTTTGTATATAAGTCTGGCGTATGTTTTATTAGATTTGTACCTAAGGTTTGTTTTTAAATACATTATGGTACTTATTTTAGTTCATACATTTTTATTTCTAGTATACATTATTGATTTTTGTATGTTGATCTCATATTTTGCTGCTAAACGTATTAGCTTTTTTGATGATTTCTCCATATATTCTACATAAATCTACCATTTGTTTATAAGGGCATTTTTCCTTTCTTTTATAATCTTTATACCTTTTATTTCATTTCTTGAGTTATTCTGTTAAGACATTCAAGTATTATTTGCAAAGGATGTTTTAAGCTTAAAAAAATTTTCATTACGGCTTTATGAAAGTCTTAGCCAAGTGTAATTATAATGAGACTTTGTCTTAAAAAACGCAAAAAGTCTTAAATTATTAATTTAGCATCAAACAATAAATAAATGCAGGTTCAATTCTAAAATTTTTTCTTTCAGATTTTAAAAATTGCATACTTTTATAGTCTTTATCTTCTTTTTAGAAAACCTAATCTAATGATATATTTTTTCTTACACAAGAAAAAATTATTTTCAGTCTGAAAATTGTTTTTCCTGTTTCTATAAGTCATTTATTATTTTTTAAATTCAGAGTTCAGAACAAGGTTCAGCTAGTCAAGAACAGGCCTTATCTGCTCAGCATCCTGCTGTTATTAACCTCACTGGAGTAGGAGGCTTTATGCAGTCACAGGCAGCTGGTACGTATCTTCATAATTTTATATGCTAAATGTACTACAAGTAATGTATTTGGAATCTGGCCACTTTTTTTCCTTTCCTTGCAAGCTGTAATCAAGAAAAAGTGAGGTTATATTTAATTTGTGAACTATTAAGTAGATTTACTGATGACTGAAAATTTTTCATTTAACAGTTGAGAGCTTTTTTTTAATACAGTATATACAGCAGTTGTTTCCCTAATGTTATAGTTTACTGACAAAATTTTATATAATTACCTGACTCACTTGGAAGCAACCAAAGCTATTTTCAGTGTTTATAATAACTGTATCTTTGGGGGGGGGGTACCGGGGATTGAACTCAAGACCTTGTGCTTGAGAGGCAGGCGGCAGAACCACTGAGCTAAATCCCTGGCCCCTAATGACTGTATCTTAACTCTTTAGTTTCCTTAGGTACTTGATACTACATTTCCCTACCTTGCAGTTTTTTGTCTCATTCTGATAGCTTGTAGTTCTATGACTCAAATCTTTTTTTTTTTTTTTGGTATGGGGATTGAACTCAGGACCTTTTGCTTGCAAGGCAGATGTCACTGAGCTAAATCCCCAGCCTCTATGACTCAGATATTAATGGTCAGTAGCATAACTTCTGTAAACCATTTGTAAAAAGTGAAACTAAACTGAAGGACTACACACTGCTTCTAGCAGTAAATAGTAAACCAAAATATAATGAATATTTTTGTCAATTGAAGACAGTAATTCTAATTTCACTTTTATTTAAAATTGATAAACTACATTCATAAGAGCTCCAATAGAATTTGAGGATTTAATGAGTGAACATATCAACATTGTGAGTTGTCACATTGGGCTGTGATGCTTTTGCATTTCTTTATAAACCCATTCGTGAATTTAGAAATCCTTTAGCATAGAATCAAGGTTGTTATTTTGAAAATAAGTAATTCTTACCTAAAGTTCTAATTCAGAGCTAATTTCCAAATGGAAGTTCATAACTATATCCCACTACCACACAAATTATAAATTTTCTAAAATAGCAATAAGGTAAATTTAGTGGAAAGGACTCTAGGCTAAAAAATCATGAGAATGTTTTTGGTCCCAGATTTGTAACTGATTAGTCACTTATTCCAGCTGGCTCTGAACCACCAGTGGTTCAGAGCCAAGCGGCAGCAAGGCAGGAATTACAGCCTTGTCATGGACATGTTTAACTATAGGCCTTAAACTTCCTCATCTATACATGAAAGGCTTAAACTGATTAACATGGTCTCCGTCAGCTGAAAATTCTGATTACCACTGTTACTAGTCTGATATTCATTACCTCTTGTTTGAAACACTTGTCTACCAGTTTTGTCATTATGATAGTTTAGGTTTCTTCCATTCTCCTTTTCGTATTTCAATGGGTATGTTTTTAAATTATGTGCTCTATTTTATACAAACAAGTTATTTTAAAAATAGCACCAATATCAAATTTCATTGAGGGACAAGAGAGGGAGGGATAAAGTGCCTTGGCACATGTGCACTCCCTACCCTTTGTGTCCAGAAAGTTCCATGATCAGTGACACCAACTAACAGGAGACTAAATTTATTCTGAAATGTCTGTGATTTGATACTTAAAATTAATCATACTGCTAACTTTTCTACTGTTTCATTTTCTGTGTTGTCCTTTCCTAACCCTGGTAGCCTTCAGACTTTCTGACTGGCCTGCTCTCCCTTCTCCTCTCTGTAGTGTTGTCTCAGCTTGGCTCTGCCGAGAACACACCTGAGCAAAGCCTCCCTCAGCAGAGACTCCAGCTCTCCTCTGCCTTTCAGCAGCAGCAGCAGCAGCAGATCCAAGTAATCCAGCAACTTCACTTGAATTACACTTTTTTAAGATACTCAGCTCCAAAAGTACCTCAAAATATCTTTTTCAGTTTTACTGTCTTTTAAGACTATACAGTAATTGGTAAATTTTAGTATATTTAAAAGTTTGACATCTTAGCCAGTCAACTTGGAGCACTGAATGTATTTTGTATGTTTACTTAAGCCTTACTCTTTTCCTAATTTAGAACTTGTCTTGAAATGCTGGTGGCACATTAACATACATTTTTCTGGCAGTGTTATAAAATAGTTCTAAGTGCCAATTGTTAACTTTGAAATAATGTACTGCAGAAGTGTTCCTATTAGTGTCCTACCTGTTTACATAGAAAACTGTTTTAGGAAGGCAAGTCAGAGTATTATAGTTGAATCTCTTGACATTCATGGTGGTCCTATATTGCTGTAAACTATCATTATATAACAAAATGGTAACTGAAGTTGCTGAGTTACTGCAGTTTAGACTGGCAGGGCAAAGTAACAATTCTGAAGTTTGTCAAGAATCATTTAAAAGCCCTCAGCAGGCTTCTTTCTGTGCCACTGGTGCTGTTTGACTGTGCATTGTCTCAATGTGTTAAGAGTCCCTTTTTGTTACCTTGGTGCTCTCCTCCCATTCAGTTTTGTTTTCATCATTCTCAGGAAAAGCACCTTCCCCACCTGTTGTTAATCTAATTTGAATTTTTTCCCTTCATTTTTGCAGCAGTTGCGATTCTTGCAGCATCAAATGGCTATGGCGGCGGCAGCAGCACAAACAGCTCAGCTACATCATCGACATACAGGCAACCAGTCAAAAAGTAAAATGAAGAGAGGCACTCCAACCACTCCCAAATTCTGAGTTTTCTTTTTTCTTTCTCTCTCTTAAAATCCCAGGAGCATTGAATCAAAAGAGTTGAGTTTTTACTTCATCTTGTTTTTTACGTGTATATTTTACACTGCTAAATGAACAAACTTTATACAAAAGTACAACCCTATGATTTTTAAATAAAAACAGGGAAAGAGTTCAATGAACTATTAATAGTTTAAAGAACTAGGTTGGTTTGCTTAAGTCATTGCTTTTTAAAATGGTTTTACTGTACATAATATATATATGGACGCGACCTAAGAAATATTAGAAACATCTTTTCAGAAGAGTGTAGTTTGATATTTATTTAGTATAAAAAGTTTGTGCACAGTCTAACAAATACAGTTTTTACAAATCTGTTTTGAAAATGTGGTTGCTTATTTGGGTTTCATGCTCTTAATTACTTCATCCATTAATTTTTTTACTTCCTTGTGTCTTGTAACTGCTCGGCTCATACAGTCCTGAAGTTTAGCTCCAGTCAGTCCACTTCCACCTGAAAAATTATTGAGCCAATACTTTTAATCTCAGTTATTTTATAAAACATCAAGGTTATGCCAAAATACTGAACAAAACAAAAGGATAATGTCTATCAGTGGTATGACCTCATGATTTGCAAATTATGTTATAGGACCTACAAGAGATGCTGACATACTGAGAACCACTGATATACAGTCTAAAAATGTCATGAATTTGAGGTAGCAAATAAACTAGTAAACTTATATTACATAAGCAATAAGATTTGCTACAATCCATTTGCCCACTCTAATAAATGTTCACACTGTTTTCACGTCCATATGCTTGAAACTCAGGTAGTAGGAACCTGCCTGGTTTGTGAAGACAACAGAGCCTGCCTTCCTCATCCATTACTACTGTTAAGGCTCCTGTTGCCAGATGCTCCTCCTCTCCAGTGGGGTCAACCATCAGCAAAGTGCTGTTAAAAAAAAGAAAGCAAAGTTATCAAATCCATAGAACACCTTTTACTCTAAAAGAATATTAAATGTACTACCTGGATTTTAGCTTAGGTATAAAAGAGCTAGACTATAACTGGTTGGAAAGAAAAGTAGCAACCTAAAATCTAAAACTTATTTTAAAAAAAACTTTGCTTTTAAATTTTTGAGTATATTAAAGTCCTAGGCAGATACTGAAGATAGCTTCAGCTACATCCTTAGTGGAAGAATTGAAAATATTACACAAGAATAGAGCCCCGGCTATACAGTTCAGCAGTAAGGTGCTTGTCCAGCATGCATAAAGCCCTGAGTTTAATCCCCAGCAACACACACGCACACACACACACACACACACATCACAAGATTACACAGGAATAAGTAAATCAAGGAACACAGAAGGTGACCACAGAATTAATCATCCAAATTAAGATGCTTATGAAGTGGAAGGGCTGACAGAAATAACTGTGCAAGGACTCAAATGTCCAGGATATGCCAGGCATGGTGGTGCTATAATCCCAGCACTTGGGAGACTGGGGCAGAAGGATCACTGTGAGTTGGAGTTGGACCTGGGCTACTCAGTAAATTCAAGACCACCCTAAACTACATAGCAAGACCCTGTCTCAAAAAAAATGTCCAGGGCAAACTAGAATGTATGGTCACTGCAGGCATTTCTCTCGAGAGTTTTAAGAAGCCATTACCTTAATTTTGAATGGAGAAATCTTTCAATGTTTGATTAACTTACTCATCAAACACAGCAAAAGAAGTTGCAACTGGGTGAGTTCTAATATTTAAGTAACTTTTCTTCTTTAAATTAACTTCTGCTAAAGCAGTTTCTTCATTTATACAGACTTCAGGCAACTGTACTAGAAAAAGACAGATAAATAGAGTAAGTCTATTACAAAGGTTTCTCATCTTAATTCACTTTTTTTCCTCTTTATAACTTGTGTGGAACATTCTTTTTAAAAGAATCTTATAAGTAGATAGTGTGAAGATAAACATTGTATTTTAGAATCTATCTATGACATTTCTGCCTAGTTCTTATTTCTTTTTTTTTTTTTTTTAAGTTTAAGAATCAAATGTCTAGCCCCTTTCTATATGCCAGGTACTGTTTTAAGCATTTTCACATGTTCACTGTATTAATTCACTCACCAGTAGTTACAAAGTAAGTACTTTCATCCCCATTTTATTATTTAGATTAAGAAACATAAGCACAATGATAGATATGATTCAAACTTAAGCCTTTGCTTTAACTACTGTACTTTAAGCCTGCTATGTTTAATTGCATCTTCAGTTGTATTGTCAATTCAGCAATACAGTATTAGGAATATGTACAGGTTACTGGAATCCTAACAAACCACCAGCCTACCCACTGAGGAACTTTTACCATTAAAGGTGAGATTTATGGCTTTACAGTAAAAACAAGTCCATTCCACTCTTCCAGGCAACACATAAAGAACTCAGAGAATACTTGTAGATCTATCTTCACCAATTCAAACAGGTATATTCAGGGCAACTCTAGAAGGTATTCAACTAGAGAATACAAAATTTCAAAGTATATTTGGAAAATCATGTCAGTAACTAAATATTAATAAAAACCCTTGAAAGTTCACTGAGTAAATGTACATTAAATGTGTCACCAAACAGAATATTCCAACTCAACAGGAGGAATGTTGCCTTTTATTAAAGCTGCTTACCATTTTTTAAAGCCGCTAACAAAGCAAATGTGCAGGCATCCAAAATGTTCCCATCATAGTCAAGGCAGATGAGATCACAATATAGAACCCAAGCGAGCTAAAATAGTTTACACAAAAAGCAATTAAAACTTCTGGTGGTTAATAAAAATGCTGTGTGCTTATAACTACAGAACCTTTGACTAGACAACCAAGATAAATTTCAAGGCTCACAAGCTTTTTAAAATGTGCTTATAAAGTAGAAAAATCAAAAGTGGAGAGGTTGGTTGAAAAGGTGGATTGAGTACCAAGTGACAAGTGACCAGCATCTCCATTTCCCTCAAGGGAAATATAATGGTAGAGGGAATTTCCTTTCTCCTTGCTAGATTAGATGAGAGAGATGCTTTTGAAAGCCCTAGCTGGAACTCAAAATACACTTTCCCACAGAAACCTTAACATATGAAATGTTTTGCTTTTACAGTGCTAATTTGTATACAGCCTAACAAAAGCCTTTCTAGATCTTAACCTAATTCTAAGCTTTTAGGCAGGATTTTGGGATCTACCCTGTAGCACAATCAAAAATTAATTTGCTATAAAGAGTAAAAAGTTAATTCATTTTTCTCTTAAAAGCTGAGGAGAAATTAACTTAAAAGATAGTTCCCAGGGAGACAAAAACTTAGTTGAACTTGTTTTTTATGAACTAAATAGTTTATTTAGATAATTAGAGTAAGACTGATTTTTTTTTACTGAATTCCATCTAAAATCTGTAAGCCCTCCATATACACTATTGTGTTTACTTTTCCCTAGAAAAACACTTTAACATAAAAGGTCATTGTTCTCTACTCCTCTTACCTTTCCTGAAGAAATACACAAATCTTCTTTCTGAATTATCTGCGAACTTCATTTAAAAATGACAAAAGACCATAGTAAATGAAAAGTCAAAAACTATTTGAAAATAAATGATAGTAAAATTTTATACCAGTCTTACTTTTCAATGACATCTGCAATGAACTGGCTAGCCACCTGGGCCTCCTCTCCAGGAGGTCCAGACCGAAATCTCGATGAACACAGGGGTGGTAGATCCACATTAGGAACTGAAAGAAACACTCCATAGCTATGAACTAAGGCATTATAATCTACAGCAAAGGCAACTGTGACCATGGACAGACTTGCAAGCAGAAATGAAGGGAACATTATAACTATTCTTTTTGGTTTTTGTAAGACGCCACTCCTAGCTTAGATTAAAAAAAGAAATTATACTTTTCTCATGTTTTTCAACACAGTTTTGTTGTTTTAGACATTTACATTAGGCCTCAATCCTCAATCTTTCACAAACATTTTCCTGGGTTCTTTTGAAAATACTTTAATCTGTTGTTACAGATTACAGTACAGTCCCTCTGCTCACATCTGTTTTTTGCATTTTAACAGCTTTGGGCCCTATCATAAAGAACAGGTGGTCTGTGACAAGAAAAAATTGCACAGTTCAAAACGAGTTCATGGAAATAAGTTTGCAATGACAGCCCTTGGTCTAAAAAAATTCTATCTCATTGGTGGATGACAAATGATCATATAAATAAAAACTGGCAAGTTTGACAAAGGTTAAATTTATGACATTTTGTATTTTGCTATTCTGCTTTTAGCACTTTTGGAAATTTGTTTTATTCCTTTTTTTCTGAATATGAAGAATACTCTTCTTCAACTCAGCTACTAGGGCTTATTAGAATTAAAGGTTTCAGTATTTGTATAAAAATCATTTAACTTACCAACATACCCTTTATCAGGGGCATCTTTTGGTGGTACTGCAAATTCCTACAGAAACAAACAAATGTTTCCTACTGAAAGAAGCTACTGAAAAATTGTGAAGACAGTTTGGCAGTTAGTTATGGAAGGGTCTACCAAAGACCACTTAATTACCTACCACACCATGAGCATCTATTGTGCTTGAGGAATTATGTTAGGAACTCATAGAGACTAGCACTCATCCTCACAATACCTTTGCAAGGTACCAATGCAGTACAGTAAAGTGGGCTACACCACAGTGCTGTGCATCAAGACTACCTAAGGATCTTTTTTAAATTACTCATTGGCTTTCTGCCCACCCTTCTTCCACTCATTTGGCACTCAAGAATGTGATCTGAATCCCCAGGTGTATTGACAGCCAGATTTAGGTACTAGTATGGTCAAAAGTAAAAGCCCTACAGTCACTAACCCAGTTCAATGTCAGACCCACCCTTACTGGGTGAGACATTTGGGGCAAGCTGTTTAAATGGGCAGAATAATGGGTGCCAAATCCTAGGGACTACTAATGAAAAACAAATGCTATAATGCAGTAAAGTCCCTAGGATAAATCCTTTCAGGATATAAGTACTCCAATCCTCCTAGATATCCCCCCAACTTTACCAAGGAAGACTCTGAACTCAGATTAAGTAATACAGGGTATAATGAAGTCAAAACACAAAACATGGGATCAGGAATCAAATTTACATCTATGTTCTGCTTATGAACCTTGTATATCTGGACAAGTTACTGAACCTCATCTATTAAACAGGAAATGGAAACTGAATAATTCTGTGTAGCACCTAAAAAAGTACCTAGAACATAGTAAGTGCTCAGTAAATGAATGGTAGCTACTAATCCTTCACACCTTTCTTTTAAAACCTCAATTGTCTACACATTTACACATTGAATGCTATCTCTGGCTAAGAGGATGTCAATATAAAATCTCTTAATTTCTCAAATATAACCAAAATTTTAAAACTAAAGGTAATGAGGATTCAAAATGTTTCTTTTCAATATGATAAATATTCATATATTTTAATTAAAGAATCAAACTTGGATTGCATTATCTGATACTCATAGCCAAAAGCTCTTAGGAAATTACTAAAAACCTGACACCTGGGCCGGGGATTTAGCTCAGTGGTTCCGCTGCCTGCCTCGAAAGCACAAGGTCCTGAGTTCAATCTCCGGTACCAAGAAACAAAAAAACAACAAAAAACCCCCAAAAACCTGACACCTGTCTAATCTACAACAGAATTACAGGTGTATATTATTATCTAATAAATATTTGAAGCTAATTTAGTAACTCAAATGTCAGCAGTTACATATACTAAACCTACCGCTTTAACGCCACAAATTACTGTAGTATTTCCCAGTTTCACTAAAGCAGAACCATCTGCCGTACTAATTGAACCTGAAAAGATAAGTACAGTATTTAAGCAAAATGAAAAGTCAAAAGAGAAAACAGCTACAGAATCAGTGTCTTAGTTTGGTAGCATGAAAATCTTGCTGCCCCTCCCAGCTGCTTATTAAAAGTTATTCCAAGTTCAAGGCATTTATTTTAAAATGGCATTACTATTTACAATTAGTGTTTCAAGAATTACTTTTATCATTTTTCATTCAGTCACGGCGTGGTTGTACAGATAAAATCTCAACAGAAAAATCATCGAATCCCACTGACATAAAGAATTGGGCTGAAAAACTTTTAAGCCGTGCAGAGGCTAAAACTCCATGTCATACAACTGAAGTGAATATATATCCTACCTATGTTGACAGTTGTGGTTCGGAATTCACCAAGTTCTCTTCCATCAGGTCGGCAGTTCTCTTTCTAAATGTTTGTTTACAGTAAAATAGACAACATATTTTACATAACCAAGGGAAACACAGTAGACTTCATTAATCCAAATGAATTAATTGGAATTTTGTCTTCAAAATGAGCACACATTATTAAAAGCCATAATGAGTACATAACCACCTTTACTCACCAGAAATCTCCTGTAATACTCCAGAGGTTCCACTGTCCTGAAATGTGTTAAAAATATATCTAAGGTAAGTTAATGAATCTTAAATCCAGAAGCTAGCAAAGATTTTGAGTGTGATGATGCAGCATAAATCTCTACAATCCACTGTCTTGAATTCTGATATTTATGTTGTCACATTTAAGTAATTATCAGAAGCAGATACCCTTGCAACAATTACATTCCATTGCTATACTTAACTCTGCCTTAAACATTTATAAGACCAGGATTTAAAGCCCTTAGGCACATTGAAAGGATTTACCCAGGTGCTAAAATAATCCTGTCATTCTTGCTCTGAAGCAGGGATTCTTAACCTAGTGATCATGAAAAAAATTACATCTTTATTTTCACTGCATTTAGCACATTCTTCCATTACGACTGCAGGCAATAAACCATAATTAGCAGTACCCGCAACCTTCACCACAAAGATTATAATTATAAATGTTTTCGTTTTAATATTATGGGAACTTCCGTGTAAGCTCATCGTTACTTCGAAATTCAAAAATTTATTAGACTCGCCACTGGATTTTGTTCAGAAAATTTTGAAACAAGATGATACACACACATGAATTCTGGGTTTATACATATAGAAAACTGTTTCAGTCTCACTGGTTTACTTTGGAGTCTCAGTTTATCCATCTACAAACTTTACTCTGCGAGTCCATAGGCTTCATCAGAATGGCATCAAAAAGCTTTTAAGAAAATCCGTCCCCCAAAAAGTACAGTTCTTTCAGAGATAAACTAAGGGAGGAGGAGATGGGGTGGCACGGGGTTGGCAGGACAAGTGGCCCTCCAGTACCGCACGTTCACCACGCACGGATCCTAGGCCCTCACGGGGGAACGGGGCTCCGGCGTCCCTTCCACTCCCGTCTCACGTGCGAGAAGCAGACCCTTTCCTCGAAGAGGACCACCTCCATGTCCTCCGGCCCGCTGCCTGCTTCGGTGGGGAAAAAAGTGGGTCCTGGTGGAGTCTGCCGGCAGGCGAGCAGCTCTCAGGTAAAGGTTTAGGGAAGCGGACATGGGCCAAGGCAACACCACTCAGTCCACGGGAGCCGACACTCACTTGAACCCGGCCGCCATCTTCCCGCTCGCGCGTCGCGCATGCGCACACCCTGCCGTGCGGCGCAGCACTTTCGACGCGGCCGCCGGACCCGCGGCGGAAGAGACCCGGGCAGACAGCATGGCTGGTCCCGTGCTCCTTCGCCTCTACATTCTACCTTCAGGTGCACCTTCTTCCGTATGTTTCCTTTCCTTGGACGCATTTTGACGAATCTGCTGTTAGAGAAGTGTCCCTTCTCAGAAAAAGGCTGGGAATTCAGAACAACACCAGCAGTTGAAGAGAACCGAGTTTATAGCAAAGCATCCTCCCAATGCTTCTGAGTCTTTTCCCGCCTCGATCTTATGCTGGGCCCTGACCTTTCCTCTCCCCAGGTAACATGCTCTTTGCATCACCTGAAACACGTGAACTTTTTCACATCGTGTGCACCAAGTACACTGCAGATCGCAGAGCTGGCTCCAAAGGAGCAGCTGTGTTGTAAACTGCTGTGACCCAGCTACCCCTCCCTCGCAGGCAGGGCTGCCAGAACAAACGCAGGACACCCGACTAAATTTGAATGTCATACAAACTAATTTTTATAATAGCAGCATGCTCCAAATAGTACGTGTTAGTAGTGTTACCACGGTTGCGGTGGGATCGAGGGAGGTTTGACAGTGTGATGATTTGCACAACATTGTCAAGGTAATGAATGCTACTGTATGATACACTTAAAATAATAAATGTGATGCATTAGCATGCCTGTAATCCAAGCATTCTGGGAGGCAGGAGGATTGAAAGCTCAAGCCCTTGTTTCAAAGTTTAAACTTAAAGAGGGTTGGGGGTGCAGCTTAGTGCCAAGGCGTCAGGTTCAATACACACTACTGGAAGAAACACTTTTTAATTAACGTGGTGGAGCAAATTTACCCTTTAAGTAAATTGTATGGTATGCTAGTTATATCTCAGTAAGACAATTGAGAATTAGTAGCTGTTCATCTGAGGCTGAAGTGGTCGCTTGCGTTTTTCTTGCGGGATCTGGTACCCAGCGCCGCCTCTCCCTCTTACCTGCCGAGCTCCCAACACCGTCCTGCGTGTTCCTCGCCTCGCCGCTCGGGGGCGCTGTGGACGGCGGGCGCGCGGCCGCCGCGGCCTCTCTGGCAGCGGAAGGCGGGGCTGGTGGCGCGCTTCCGTGTGTGTGTAGGCACGGGATAGGTCGGGTGGCGGTGGACGGGCATGGAGGATGGCAGCGCTCCTGCTGCAGCTCGCGGGGCTCGGTGCGGTGCTGGTGGCCGCAGCCCTCGTACTGGTGAGGACCGGGTTGGGGACGGGCACGGCCTGGACTCAGGTTCTGGAGACTGCGGCTCTCCTGCGTGCGCTCCTCTGCGCTGCTGGCTCTGAGACGTGTTTTTTCCCCGTGCATCTCCCCAATTCTCAACTGCAGGGTTTCCTCCCCTAGAGTTTCACCTCGTGTCTTTGGTAGTTTTTCTCAGGGAACCTTATCTCCGGTGTGTCCAGAGCCTTGGGACAGCCAGCCTCTCATTCCGCGTCCCTCGTCCCGGGTACCGGGCCACCCCACCCGGCCTCCTCTCTGCAGGGCCCTCCCGGGCCTCGTTCCCTGCGGTTCTGTCCCCGCTCCCCGAGGGTCTGAGTCCCCGGAAGGGTGCCAGCCAGGTGTTACAGATGGGAACAGATGAAAGGATCAAGAAGACCCCCCCGAGGACACGGCGTGAGCAAGAGAGGTAGCTCCAAGCCTCGTCTAGTTACCTTCTGTAGAGGGGTCTTCGTGTCCCAGAATTAAGCACTTTTAAGTTTACTGCCCCTCTTAGAAGCTACAGGAGAACAGAATTGAAATTCAGATTTTCTTTGCCATTACTCTTTTGATAGAAAATTTGCCAAATGAACTCTGCCACATACTTTGGAATAAGCCAGTTACTAATTGGAGAGGATTTTAGCTTCCTTGGCATTCAGATTACTTGCCCAAAACAGCTTTGCCAGGAAGGCAGGCCACTGTTCCACCTTCCTCAAAGAGTTTGTAGATTTATATCTTAGGAACACTAGATACAGAAAATCCAATGCATTCTTACTTCTCTGGTGATACGTGCCCTTACTAGTGTGTCTTAAGGTTTTGGGAGGACAGAATGTGACACAACCCCAGGTTGAGGCTACCTTACTTTGAGTCTGTTGCACAGATTTAAACGTGTGATAATAAGAGCTACTTTTTGTGGTTTTGGGAATTGAAAAAGGGCCTCCTATGTACTAGGCAAGCATTCCTCTAAGCTACATACTCAGTGGGTTTTTTTTTTTTTAATTTTGAGACAGTCTTGCTAAGTTGCCCGTGCTAGCTTTAAACTTGTGAGCCTCCTGCCCCAGCTTCCTATGTATTACAAGCTGGTATTACAAGCCTATGCTAGTAGGCCCAGGAGGAGCTACTGTCTGTTGATTACTTCTGGTACTATATATTAGATACTGTATTGGATGTTGAGTAGTAATTGTCTCATTTGATCATTGAAACAGCACTGTGACATAAATGTTACACTTTTGCTTGATTTTGCTGCTGAAGGGATAGGCTGGAGAAAAGAGCTCCTCCTGTATTCAAATACAGTTAATGGAATTTAGCCTTCTGTAGGGAGGGGGGAAAATAGTGGGGATTTAATCCAGGGCCTTCACACTAAGCCTATCTTCAGCCCCCTTTTTATTTTTTATTCTGAGACAGTGTCTCACTAAGTTGCCAAGACTGGGTTTGAACTTGAGATCCTCCTGCCTCAGCCTTCCAGAGTGCTGGGATTACAGGAATGTGTCACTACACCCAGCAAGTTAGCCTTTTTAAAGGCCAGAGGAACAAATTTTTAAAAGAACAAACCATCTTCTTATTTCATATTCATCCTCTCTGTTCATAATCCCTCCCCTCCTTACCTCATTTCTGAATTATTTTAAAACAAACCCAAAACATAATATTTCACTTGTAAATACTCAACATACATTCCTGTAAGATAAGGACTGTTGAAAATGTTATTGCAATAAGTGATTGCAGATTTTTAAGTTCCACCAGTATTCTGTGATTTCACATACTCTGTCATTTCCAGTGTCCTCAGTTGTCTCATGTATGTCTCAATGGAAATGACTGGTTTGTTCCAGTCAGGATTCAGCAGGTGCCACACATTGCCTTTCACTAGTATGTCTTGAGAAATTCTCTTCCTTTTTTGAATTTTCCTTACCTTTAGGAAAGGTGATATCCTGTAGAATTTCTCACAATATGGATTTCACTGTTTGCAATCCTTTACTGTCTTTTAAAATCTTACTCTATCCCACAAGTTTCCTGTAACCTGGTATTTGGGATCTAAAGACTTGATTAAATGTATGTTAGTTTAATCAAGAAAAGTGTGTGAATAATGCTTACTACTTCTTTGTTTATCAGAGACACAGAATGGCAGGTTGTTTCTGCTGTTGACAGCTGACCCACAGAAACCTTGTCTTCAGCCTGATGGTTTCAGCAGTCATTGACGATCATTACCTAAATGTTCTATTTCACTGGGTTGTAAAGTGGGATAGTCTTAATTATGTCATTCCTTCATTTATTGCGCAGAATTTTATAATGAAAAAAATCTAATCCTCAGCTATTCAGTTACCCTGAAATCCTTTACCTTTCAAATATAAAAGGCAAGTTTAAAAAGTTTTGAGATAGTTCCCAAGCATTTTTAAAAAGTGAGCTATCTTTTTAGTATCATGGATTCATAATTTAAAGTTTTCTCCTGTGTTTCAATCCATTGCAATATCCATTCTTTTTGATGGTGAAATCCTTGCTGCAGGGCAGTGGATGCCCCTTCAAGCTGCTTTGTTCTTTTTGCATAGCCCTCATAATCATTGATTGTCTTCACTTTCTGGTCTGATTTGTTCCTCTGCCATTCTACATTTCCTTCCCCACATCTGAATCAAACAACCACGTAAGAGAGCTGGTAGTTGGAATTCAGTTGGAAATTGAATTGGAAACCACAATCTATATAGTAGGGTGTGAAGCAGAAACTCTTAACCACTAGTTAGGTTGCTGACCCTTTGCTCATAGTAATCAGAAACATGTTATTTCCTTATGTGCCCAATGGAATACTATAAATGGTCATCAAAGAACAAATGAGTAGAATTCCAAAACTTTGTAGGTTGACTGTATTGAAACAAAGTGTACCAGTAGGAATATTGTCACAAAGAATAGTTTATTTCCAAAGCTAGCTCCCCAGTGCATGTGGAAGGGAGCCTACAAATTTTGTACTTCAGGCAGTACTGTATTCCAAATTCATATTTGAGGTATCAAAATATGTGAGGTGTGATAGAAAAATATGGTGACTTTAAATTTTAAAAATTTATTACAGTGAAAGATAGGGCCATTAATCCCCCTCAAAATTCTCCCCAACACTTTCAACACATTTCGTCGTTCTTGCCATTCCGAAGCAGTTTGGGAAGTCCTCTTTCATGAGTGTCTTTATTTTCACCCTCTTGGCTGCCTTAGAGTCCTGAATAGATTGAAAACCTTTATCTTTCATGGTAAATTTGATTTTGGAAAAGAGCCAGAAGTCAAACAGTGAATAAGGTAGATGAGACACCATATGCTTTTGTATGACAGAAATTCTGTAAACATTTTGAATCAATTCAGAATATTAAGACATAAAAAGACACACAAAAGACTTCTGGAACTGCTTCAAAAAGTGGCAGGAGCCATGGGATAATTGTGTTTGAAGTGGGGGTATTTTTAGGGGGATTAATGACAATGTGTCTTTATCCATAATTTTTATTTTAA